TATTTTCACAATGTATTTTAACAATATATTTCACTGATACAAACTTAAAAACTAATAAAAAAAAAAACAAGTTAAAAAAATATCAGCCAGTGTTGCCAACAGATGTATACCCTCAGCCATTGTTCGATTATTTAAATATATTTTGACTTTTTGTTATGATTATTCAAATTTTTGACCCTCTTCATTTTTATACTTCATCTAATACAGATACAAATATTGATATTGGCAAAATTACAAGAAAATCGAACATTTATATTCAATTTTATGCGAAATCAAAAATTCCATGTCCATCTCAGGTTTTTGGTTGAGAGAAATGATTAGATATAGCATGTTGTAAAGAATCGCTGACTTGTCAGACAAATGTACTGAAAATTGTGACCGGTTGTGGGTGAGGTACCCGAAGGAGTTCGCAGATACATATCATCTTCACAAGAGATCTTGTATGTGTGAAATTTGAAGAGAGTTGGATGCTTATTTCGCTTTCTTTGAGAGTTTTATTTTTCAAAATCTTGAACCCCTTGTGAGGGAGGTACCAGAAGAAATGGCCCGATCTCTACCATATTTATAACAGATCTTGTGTTGATGGAAATATTGAAATGTACCAAGTTTGTTTGTGGAATCGGATGTTAATTTCGCGCTTTATGATCTTCTTGGATATTCAAAAATTTTACCCTTTGTGGGGGAGGTACCAGAAGGAGTTGACTGATATATCCCATCTTCACAACAGATCTTGGGTTTATAAAAATATTGTGATGTGTGTAATTTGAAGACAATCGGATTTTTATATCATATTTTATAAGAGATATAATTATTTAAAATTTTGTCCCTTTATGCGGTAGGTACTTGATGGAGTGGACCGATATTGCCCATCTTCACAGCAGATGTTGTGTTGGCAGAAATAATGGGATGTGTGAAATTGGAAGAGAGTTTGATGCTTATTTCGGATTTTATGTTCGTTATGGTTATTCAAAATTTGGGCCCTTTGTGGGGGCAGTACCAGAAGGAAAGGTCCGCCTTTATGACAGAACTTGCGTTGATATAAATATTGAGATGTGGAAAGTTTGAATTGAATCGGATGTTGATTTCGCGTTTTTAGCTTATCGGATATACAAAATATTGATCCTTTGTGGGGGAGGTACCAGAGGGAGTGAACCGATATATCCAACCTTCACACCAGATCTTGGACTTACAAAAGTATTGTGATGTGTGTAATTTGAAGACAATCGGATTCTTATATCACATTTTATAAGAGATATAATTATTTAAAATTATCCCTTTATGGGGTAGGTACTTGATGGAGTGGACCGATATTGTCAATTTTCACACCTGACCTAGCACTGATGCAAATATTAGGATTTGCAAAGTTGGAGCGAAATCGGAGTATCGTTTCTCTTTCTGTGCAGTAAAATATTTTCTTTGAAAATTTCAACGTTTTGTGTGAGGAGGTACCAGAAGGAGTTGACCGATATGGCCCATCTCCGATCTCCATCTAAGTTTGATAATAATATTACGATGTACAAAGTTTGGACCAAATCGGATACTCCCTTCAGATCGAAGAGACCTAGGTTCTAAAACCGTTGTTTCGATGAGGAACGTTTTGGCAGTTTATATATAACCGCTGTAGCCATATGGCTGAGGGTAAAAAATAACGGTAAATGTCTTGAAACGGACTTGGTGCAAAGGGACCCAGGGTTTAAAACTCTTCTTTCGATTTCGCCACGTTTTGGCCATATCAAATGATATATGCCTTCTGCAGCCATATGGCTGAGGGTATAACAAATAAAATAAATACCAAGTGATGTAAAGGTGGGTGGGTGAATTGTTACAAATGTTTGTATGTGATGGATTGTGCTACTATTTTTTTAATTATAAGCAAATGTAATAAAATATTAATATACGATATCATTTCTAATTTAAGCTTATGAAAACTATTTATACTAATATATAATTTTTGATTTTTTTGCCTATATTATAATTAATTGATATGGGGGGGGGGGTTTTATGTTCTCTTCTGAAAATTATCGAATATAAGATAGGGTATTTTTTGAATGGAAATGAAACAGAGAAGAAAATATTTTTTTTTGTTACAAAATTTATATTCTTTCAATTATTGCTACTTGATTCAAGTTGTTTTTGTTTGTGAAAAAAATATCTACGGATAATTTGCCTTAAGTGTTGCTGCCTAAACTATTAAAAAACAATGTAGAAATTATGAAAATAAAAAAAATACGTTTTTTAACTAAATAATCAAATATCACAGATTTTGGATTTTGTTCTCATCGTTTACGTTTTCGTTTTGTTGTAAAAAAAATAATAAACTAAATACAATGAGTAATTTGTTTAGCCAATTTTTTGAGATTCCTAAAGCAAAAACGTGTTTTGAAGACTTTTGGTTACATATATTTTGAACATTATATTGTTATTTTAAATAAAGGAACATGTGTGTTTTTTAGGTTATTTCTTTTTGAATTCAAAAATAACCCAATAGAGGCAACAAAAAATGTAAAATAATAATCAGTCTGTATATTGATGATGATGATGTACAGCATGAGATACCTTAGTTTTAAGTGATAGTGAAATAATATTTGAATTTATGCATATGAGGACAAAGAAGTCTACAAATAAATAAGTCAAATAATATTGAAATACTTCTAAATATATTTTCTTTTAAATACAGGGTGAGATGAAAAGACTGCAACCAACGTCAGACTGCTGTCATTTCTAAGCCACTCGTCCGGCAGCTGTTAAAATTATCGCAATATTCCATTCGCGTAGCGTGTGAGCTCGAGGTAAAGCCATTGAAATTCTAAAAAGTGCAAGAACTTACACCGCAACAGAAATAAAATAGACTCAAAGGAGCTAAAGAGTTGCTTCGCTTGGTGAACTGCCGAATTTGGTTTTCTCCGAAAAGATAACATTCGTTGTCCAGCAGTTTGTAAACAAACAAAATGATAGTGTTTACTTACCAAAGAGTTCAGCTGAAAATGTGCATCTATGGATGTCCAGCAGAACTCTAGCGTCGGCCATGGTGATGATGTGGACCGCCATAACAGCCGATAGTCGCTCTCCGCTCCTATTTATCGGCCGTGGCATCAGAATAAATGCCGAATATTATATTCTGGAGGGTGTATTAAAACAAACATTTTGGCCGCAGACCTCGGGCATTCCAACAGTACTCAGCACCATCGCACTCAGCACGCGCCACACAAGAATGGTTACAAAATGAGGTTCCTCGCTTCATTTCCAGCGCATAATGGCCACCAAAATCTCCGGATACCAATCCGTTGGACTATTGTTTCTGGAGTATTTTGGAAAGCAAGGTTGGCACTAAAAAAAATGCCGCAGATCAACAATTGGGCAGCGTGTGAGGGTTTCATTGGCTGTTTGAAGGCCATAATTCGTGACAAAGGTGACCATTTGGAACAAATCTAGACTTATTCTAAAATTTGATGCTATTTCCGGCAGTTTTTGCTTTCTTTCAATAAAATTAAAAAAAAAACAAAATATAAAAATTATGGCGTTTGACTTTGTTGCAGTTTTTTTATCTCACCCTGTATATTATATCCATACCTATAAGAAATGTGTTTCTTCTTTCATCTTTAATGCCTTATAATTATACTTTCAAACCAATTACCTTCTAAAATTTCACTCTCAGTTTTATTTTTTTTTATCGAATATCCTTATGTCTGTACATCACATATTATTTTCTCGTTCAGAAAAGTTACAAAATTTAGTCTTAAAACAATGGCACACTTATGAATAAAAATTGATAGCACTACACATTATTTATGAGCATTTTAAAAACAAAGTAAATTGTTATATAGATAAACTAGCAAACTTACATATATGGTTAATAAAAATATTATCTCCAATTTTAGAGTTGAAATTGCACAAATACTTATTTTTAATAATTTCATTAGATTGGTTTTAAAAACCTACATTCGAAGTAATGTGATATTTTTTTTATATTAAACACTCATACTAATGGGGGGTTATATTATATTTTCGTATTATAAAATAATAAAAATGGATGAACCAAAGTCAAATAACTCATACCTCTCCAACATGGTTTTAATCTATTACATTATCAGTGAGAGAAACTCAGAGAGAATTCCAATAGAATATTATTAAAAAGCGGACTACTTTTTTTCTATAGAAAAAAAAAAATCGGAGTCTCTCGGGATTAAGTTTTTTTTTCTATAGAAAAAAAATTCGAAATCCCTTCGGAACTAAGTTTTGTTCTAAAGAAAAAATTCGGAGTCCTAGGAAAATATTCGGAGTCCTTCGGGACCAAGTTTTTTCTATAGAAAAAAATTGGGAGTCCCTCGGGATCAAGTTTTTTCTATAGAAAAAAATTTAGAGTCTCTCGGGACTAAGTTTTTTCTATAGAAAAAAAAATTCGGAGTCCCTCGGCACTAAGTTTTTTCCATAGAACAAAATTCGGAGTCCCTCGGGACCAAGTTTTTTCTATAGAAAAAAATTCGGAGTCCCTCGGTACGAAGTTTTTTCTATAGAAAAAAATTCGGAGTCCCTCGGGACGGAGTTTTTTCTAAAGAAAAAATTCGGAGTCCCTCGGGACGAAGTTTTTTTTATAGAAAAAAATCGGAGTCCCTCGGGACGAAGTTTTTTCTATAGAAAAAAATTGGGAGTCCCTCGGGACTAAGTTTTTCAAAGTCTCTCGGGACTACGTTTTTTCAGAGTCTTTCGGGACTAGTTTTTTTCTATAGAAAAAATTCAGAGTCTCTCGGGACTAAGTTTTTTTTTTTCTATAGAAAAAAATTCAAAATCCATCGGGATTAAGTTTTTTTTTTCTATAGAAGAAAATTCAAAAGGGACTACGTTTTTTCAGAGTCTTTCGGGACTAGTTTTTTTCTATAGAAAAAATTCAGAGTCTCTCGGGACTAAGTTTTTTTTTTCTATAGAAAAAAATTCAAAATCCATCGGGATTAAGTTTTTTTTTCTATAGAAGAAAATTCAAAATCCATCGGTACTATTTTTTTTTTTTTATAGAAAAAAATCGGAGTCGAAGAACTTTTTATACAAAAATTGAAATTGAAGTCCCTCAAGTCTAAGTCTCTCAGATAAGAATAAAACCAGTGGAATATTTAATTTGCATATCTAACGTGTCAAGCTAAACGCTTACTGGAATGATTTTGCTGTTGGGCATATACCTAAATTATTATGGCATTCTATCTTTCATATCTCTCTCTCTCCCTCTCGTCATTATCGTTGATTTTTCGAAACTAAAACTTAGACATAACTTACCCTCCAAAAAAACTTCTCCACTCTAATTGCTTAAATTCTCAATGCGATTTGTTGATAGATTTGTAATGAGTGATGGACCATTGCCACCAGAAGACATAGCACCAATACTTCCAACAGATGGACCGCCGACGCCGCCACCTATAACACCAGCACTGCCATCACCTAAATTTGATGTACCCTCGCTCTCACTCTTCCAAGAGGATACTTGGATATGCGGTGGTGGTAGATAATTGCGAAGAGTTTGGACAATTTGTATGGTGTCCATTAAAGCTGAAAATTGATTAATTTTTATTGAATTATTTATTCCTCTGTGGAGAAAGAAAAACTTACTTTTCTGCAAAGATTCACTTTGTTTGCCATATGGTTTGCACATTGAAGGACGTATGTAGGTTTTCATACGTGCCATGTTACGCATTAATTCGGAAAATACACGAACTATCTTATCCTGGCCAACTGGTAAGTTATCACGTGAGTTTATTTCCTGATTGTTGGTGGACCAGGCACCATTGTGAAGAGCCAAGAGGTCTTTATTCGATTCCAAAGTTTCAAGATTTGAGCTAAAGTGTAGAATAGTATGAATTTGCGAATAAAAATATTGAGTTTAAAAAAATGGTGGTATACCGTAAAGTTTCGACACTTTTCTGCACCATTTGTTCAACCATGTGAGCTGTGGACGACGATGCTGTCGACGAATTGGATGATGTCGATGAACCAGTAGCTGAGGTGGGCATTAAATCATGACGATTACTGCTGTGCATAGCGGTGGGCGATTGCGGTGGAGGTGGTAATTGATGATGAGCACTGTGATGTGTTGGCAAGGGGACGCCTTGGTTAGGATTACCAGCCGACAGAGCCATGGCAGCGGCGGATGATAGGACCCTTTGCTTTTCTAGGGCGGATAGATTATTAAATTTCTCAAAACTTTGTTGGGCCAATGCACGACTTTGTTGTTGTTGCAACAAAGCTGCCGTCAATTGTTGCTGCTGTTGTTGGGCAGCAGCTGCAGCGGCGGCTTGCTGTAATGCCGCTTGTTGCTGCTGCTGTTGTTGATGATGTTGTTGCTGCTGCTGTTGCTGATGATGTTGCTGTTGTTGTTGTTGCTGCTGCTTGGCAACAGCAGCCACAGCTGCACTAATCTGCGATAACTGTGATTGTTGTTGCTTCGTTAAATGTTGAAGTTGTGGCGGAAAAAGTGGCGACTTGGCAGATAAATCCACTTCACCACCACCAGCAGAACTGCTGGTAGCTGAGCTTGTACTGCCCGCAGAACTAGGGCCACTGACAGTACCACCACCACCCCCACCTGCTCCTGGGACATGGCCATGTGGTGGTGGAGGCGGTGGAAGATGTGGCAAATGCTGCAAAAATTCCGGACTAACCCCAGGAAATTGCTGGTCCATAAATGGTAACGGTGATATGCCAACATGATTTTTATAATAGCGGCAAGCCGGGCTGGGACATGATTGTACCACCTCAATAATGAACTCCTTTTCCATGCCGAAATTCTCTCTTCCAATGGTATAGGATTCTAGTACGGCTCGTACGGTTGCATCGACACTCAAATGTAGACCATGGGGACCGGACATGTGCTTTAACATGACTGCATTAGCAAAGTGCTCAAAAGGTAGAACAATTTTGCCATTTTCACGCAACACCAGGCGTCCCTGGGAGTCCAAGGTCATGCGGTTGGCCAGAACTCTGTAAGAAAATAAGAAAAAAAAAATTGGGAATAAGGAATAATTTCAAATTATGTACTATGGAATTTTAATCGTTACACCTTTTCTTCTGCATGGTTTCATTAGTTGCATCGCGCACACACACACACCCTGCTTAAAATAATTCTACTTACTGTAAATATCCTGCACTCGGTAACAATGCATTATCTTTTAGATCAGAAAAACACTGTAAAAGTTCTGCACTTGGATTCCAACCTTTGTTTTGCAAATACAACTGCAACAACATATACAATTTCTCAGTCACATAACCAGAGCCCGACAAGCCAGGATTGCCCCCGGCTGGTATATCCGCAGCTCCATGGGCTCCCACTGTGGCCGATGGTGGCGCCGACATACCACCCACACCCGATGGACCTGCACCTGGCGCTGAGCCCGGACAACCACCTTTCGACAAGGCTGCCTTCATGGTTTCCGACAAATCCAATTTATAGTTTTCCGGGTAGAAATTCTTAACGTGGTCCTAATGGAATGGAATTGCATTGAGTTACATTATCTAAAGACACATTCCTTGATTTACTTACCAAATTATTCATTTTCATTAAGAAATCTCTTGAGATGTTGCTAGCGCCCGGTTGGTTGGAGGTCCTTGCCTGTGATCTGGCAATTTTTAAAAATTTTCTTTTTCACCTTTTTTTCAAACTTTTAGCTTAAATATCTTCTTCTACTAACGGTTTTCCATATAATGCGGCTAAATCCTTTAAGTTTTCACTGCTATAAATCGGATTGGGATTATTCATAGATTCTTTTTTGCGGATTTCTTATAAGAAAAAACAATTACACTTGATATAGAAGACGAGACTTGAAAATTTTCTTTAGACGTCGATGTATGTATCCCAACGAAACGAATATGAAGGCCACGAAGGAATACCTGATAAAAAATAAACAGAAAGCAAGGACTCGGGGTACCCTGTTGTTTACGAACGAGTGTAATGCTGTAATGCATAACGCCCGGGTACTCTGTTGTTTACGAATGAGACATGAGAAAATTGAACATCTTCACTAAAGAGCGCGGAACTAGCTGCTACTATCGTTTTTGCAAATTCTATCAATAAATATGCTCTGTTCCAGAACCTGCAAGAATCTAATAGTTTTGCAATTTTTTCCGATTTCATAATGGTAAAATCGGTTATCGCAGTAAAAAGTTTTACATTCTTGCAGTTTTGAAACAGATCATATTATTATTAAATATGTACGATAACGCCATAATTTGTATATATTATACAACATGTTGTTCGATAACTAAATGTCCTGACAATGAGAGTGATTTGATGATATATTCCTCCTTATTTTTTTTTTTTTTTTGGTTTTAGAAAGTTGAAACTTGGCCAATTTCCAGATAACGCCACAACAAAATATATATTCCTCCTTAAGTTTGCAGGATTTCTTTTAGGGATACTTCTGTCGATAACTGTCAACGATTTATCTAATAATCGAAGGAATAAGGAGGTTGTTGCACTAATTGGCAGTGCCAGGCGAAATGTGTAAATTCGGAAGGGAAACAAGAACAATTTTTAGTAAATAATGTTTAGTAAATTCAGTTTTTTTTTTGGACTATGATAAAATGGTGGGATGTAGCTGGTATAGATACAAGATATTGCAGAAATATCAGCTGATTATAGATTTTCTTTTTTAAAAAACGTTCCATTTAACAAAAATAAAATAAGACAATTTTCAGTCTTAGACTGTATGTAATATTCATTTCGAACTTCAAACATCAAATTTGAAACAATTCCGGTGAATAAAGTCGCTAAAATCATCAAAATACCGAATATCGGGAGGTACCGTTATATGAGGGCTCTACCAAAACGTGGCTCTACATGGCCCATAATACATTGCTGTCAATCTACGAGGCTAACGAGACTAAACAATAACGGCATAATCATGGAAAAAGGAAAAGTCATTTCAAATAAGCATTCCCATCTTTGAATTCAGTAATTTAGCTTGTCAATGGCATGTATAATCGATTTAAATATAAGAATTTTGACAATGAGATGTTGTCAAGTGAATAATTTAAAAAAATTGAAAACACGTTGGACGCTTAATTCTACCATAGACGCTACCAGAAAGCTGCTAAAAACAAAATAACAAAGTTGATACACTTATGTGTTTGCAGATTTTATGATCAATTTCAATAAAAAGTAGTTATTTGCCATGGTACAATAAAGAGGTAGAATAGCTTCGTAAAACTACAGAAATACAGCCCTGAGGCTATGCCCGCTTCCTGTCAGACTCGTTCAAAATTATATACAAAAAGTTGTTTTAATTTTTTTTCATATTTTTCCTCATTTTTAGAATGAGTTGAATAGCGCGAATAATGAATGAAATGCCTGGATTTTCTCTTAAAAATAATATCAAAACTATTCATTCTTTCAATTTCATGGCTAAACTGGTTAATAGCTTTAATGTACGTGTCTTTGAAAATATTTTGGTTTGATTTTTCAAAACAATAAATACATACACAAAATTGGCAGAAGTCGGGCACACTTAGAAAAAAATTGTAATCAGCTGGTAGCTCTACCTTACCTTTTTATTGTACCATGGTTATTTGCTGTCATGAAAATGTAAAATTCCATGGCAGAAGAATAGTGGTAGATGCATCAACGCTTGGGAGCATTGATATGTCCAAAAAATTTAAATGTTTTTTGCAAATATACTTATGCCATGTTTACGTTAGAACTTTTTGTAGGGTTAACCTACTTTGAGAGGATTTATTTGAAGTAAAAGTAATGGATATGACAATTTAAATCCAAATCCAGTGGGTTAACCCTCATAAACATAAACGTACTGTTCGATTTTTATATGTTTCCTTATACTACGTCAGTCGGAGGCTATTAAAATTCACGTTTTTCAAAAATTTTTACAAATTTAAATAATTTTTCATTCAACATTTTCAATTCCAAAGTTGGTTTGACAGTTCATTGTCCTAGCAGCTGTGTCGACGCTTCTACCTATATTCTTCTACCATGGTAAAATTCCATGAATAAATAATTTTTCATTCAACATTTTCAATTCCAAAGTTGGTTTGACAGTTCATTGTCCTAGCAGCTGTGTCGACGCTTCTACCTATATTCTTCTACCATGGTAAAATTTCACGAAAACCCTGAAAAAAAACAATAGTAGGTTCTTGAAGATTCTGGAACAAAACAAATATTTGCATATACAGAACCTGCAAGATGGTAAAAATTCTATTACTATAAACGACTTTTACTTTTTCTGTTTTAGAACCCGCAAGATTCTAAAGTTTTGCAATTAGTAGGACTAAGCGCATAAATCAAAATCAGGGTAATGTCCTTAGACATCGTTTAAGGATATAGTCTAATTGATCTTAAAGACTACAATGCAAATGGTCTGTTTTTGGTATCAGAAGAAGAAAATTTGTTTTCGTTGCAAAAAATTTTACATTTTTGCAGTTTTGGAAAAGATTAAAGGTTGCCTTTTTCTATTTTCTTCGAAATTAAGCTACCTAAATCGAGTCGACAATCGCTGACGACGCAATTATGTTCAATAGCAAGCGTTTGGACGTTCAATGTGGCAACTATCGCTTGTCAAACGGTTTATTTACAAATACACGTGCCGTGTGTTTTGCTGTTGCTAGTTGCTTCCAAAGAATATTAAATATATTGCAAAAAACAGACAAATATCTCGGAAAATGAAGGTGAAAATGATAAGCCGTAATCCGGACGAGTATGTCCGTGAAACCAAACACGAACATCATAAACGTAAGTCCATTAGAAATGCGTGGAAATCATAACTCAATATTTGATTATCGTTATTATCGTTTATACAGTACCACGAAATTACGATCCTGCTTTGCATCCCATGGAATCGGCCCGTGAATATGTTCGTGCCTTGAATGCTACCAAACTGGAAAGAGTGTTTGCCAAACCGTTTGTTGGCAACTTGAGTGGTCATCGCGATGGTGTATCCTGTTTCGGCAAACATCCAAAACGTTTGTCCACCCTGACAAGTGGCGCCTATGATGGTGAAGTACGGGTCTGGGATTTAGCCAATCGAGAGAGTATTCGTAGTTTTGTGGCACATGAGGGGTTTGTGCGTGGCATTTGTTATAATGTCTCCGGTGAACGTTTCTTTACGGTGGGTGATGATAAAAACATTAAGGTTTGGAATTCGAATGCACCCGATGTTGGTGAGGATGAGGAGCCCATAAATACCATATTAAGTCGCACCATGATAACTGGCATTTCACATCATCGTAAAGAATCCAAATTTGCAACATGTGGTGAATATTGTTCCATCTGGGATGAGAGTAGAAATGATCCATTGAAGAACTTGAAGTGGGGTGTTGATACTTTACATGATGTGGCTTTTAATCCGGTGGAGACATCCGTATTGGCTTGCTGTGGTAGTGATCGTTCGATTATCTTATATGATCAACGTGAAGCAAATCCTTTGAGGAAAATGGTAATGACTATGAAGAGTAATAAACTGGCATGGAATCCCATGGAAGCATTCAACTTTACAGTGGCCAACGAGGATTGCAAGTAAGTTAAATTGTGGATGTAACCAACCATGGAAATTATTAAGTTGTTTTTTCTTATTCGTTTTAGTTTGTACACCTTTGATACACGCCAACTAAGGAATCCCCTCAAAATACATTTCGACCATGTCTCTGCGGTAACGGATGTTGACTATTCGCCCACCGGCAAAGAATTTGTCTCGGGCAGTTATGACAAAACCGTACGTATCTACAATGTCCATCAAAGTCATTCACGTGATATTTACCACACAAAACGTATGCAACATATCGTCTGTGTGGCTTGGTCATTGGATAATCGTTATCTCTTCACCGGTTCGGATGAAATGAATATACGTATGTGGAAGGCTAAGGCATCGGAAAAACTCGGAGTTATACGACCCCGTGAACGTGTTGCATTCAATTATCAAGAGGCACTCAAAGAAAAATATGCTGCCCATCCACAAATTAAGCGTATCGCTAGACATCGTCAAGTACCGCGTCATGTATTGAATTCACAGAAGAAAATGCGTGCCGTTAAGGATAAGGAATTGCGTAAGGAAGCCAATGTCCGTAATCATTCGAAACCCGGATCGGTGCCATTTGTGGGCGAAAAGAAAAAGGCTGTGCTCAAGGAAGAAGTTTAGTTTAATTAAAAGTCGATAGTGTTTGTGCACCAGAAGATGAAAATGCTAGTTTTTAAGAATGTTTTTTAGATTTTAAATAAAAAAATAATATCAAAAATAGATGTGTGTTGGAGGTATAATGGAAATAATCTATGTCGAAAGTGAAACTACGATTTTGAAGGACTTCTTACAACATTAAATTCAATTAATTGTTGAATATTTGGAAAGATTTCAATTGAAACCCTAGGTATTTTTTTTTCTGGGCACTATACAGGGTATGATGAAAAAACTGCAACCAACTTTAGACTGCTGTCATTTCTAAGAAACTCGTCCGACAGCTGTTAAAATTATTCCAGTGATAGCTCATTATATTGTTTACAAGCAAAAGCATTTTGGTGATAATTTTCTAGTAAGGAAGTGGACGGAAGAAAACAGCATCATCAGCATAAATGGTTCGAAAAGTAAAGAAGCGACTTGATCGAAACCCGCGACGCAGTGGCCGATAAATGGCTCGTGAGCTGAACATATTGCAATATTCCATTCGGAAAATATTGAAAAATGAGCTCGGGGTAAAGCCTCTGAAATTCCAAAATGTGCAAGAACTTACACTGCAATAGAAAGAAAATAGACTCAAAAGAGCTAAAGAGTTGCTTCGCTTGGCCGAAAGTGGTGAACTGCTAAATTTGGTTTTCTCCGATGAGAAAACATTCGTTGTCCAGCAGTTTGTAAACAAACAAAATAGTCGTGTTTACTTGCCATAGGGGTCGGCTGAAAATGTGTACCTTCGGTTGGCCACCGGATCTTAAGCGCCAGCCATTGTGATGGTGTGGGCCGCCATAACAGCCGATGGTCGCTCTCCGCTCGTATTAATCGACCGTGACATCAGAATAAATGCCGAATATTATCGCGAAGATTTTCTGGAGGGCGCATTAAAGCTTTGGGCAGGCAAACATTTTGTCCGCGGACCTTGGACATTCCAACAGAACTCAGCACCATCTCACTCAGCACGCGCCACCCAAGAATGGTTACAAAATGAGGTTCCTCCTTTTATTTCCAGCGCATGACGCAATGACCACCAACATCTCCGGATACCAATCCGTTGGACTATTGTGTCTGGAGTATTTTGAAAAGCAAGGTTGGCATGAAAAAAAGCCATAGTTTCGATCACCTCAAGCAAGTGCTTACCGCAGATCATCATTCGGGCAGCGTGTGACGGTTTCATTGACCGTTTGCAGGCCATAATTCGTGCCAAAGGTGACCAATTCGAACAAATCTAAACTTATTCTATAATTTGATGCTATTTCCGACATTTTTTGCTTTCATTCAATAAAATTAAAAAAAAATTGTAAAAACTGTGGCGCTTGACTTTGTTGCAGTTTTTTTTATCTCACCCCGTATATCTGAAACAAAAGCAAGGATGAGTCCTATGGACCTGAGGGGTTGAACATCTGACAGTAATTCTTGTAGATGTACTCCTTAATGTAGCTTTTGTTAATGTGACTGATTTAAATCAAATTTTGAATATTTTTTGTCTTTAACCACTATGGAAAAATTTGAATTAGAATCAGCGGCAAAATTCTTTCATTCGATTTCGAAGATATTTCGTTGGAAATCAATTTAAATGAATTATAAATTTTAGATGAATTATAAAGTTAATTCTCAATCTTTTTCTATTGTATACCCAAATTCACTTTGATCGAAATTTGTTCGATATCGAATTCGAGAGTTTGGCCGGAGATTAGTTGAGGGAGTGGTTTAGGTCGATCAGAGTGACTGCAGTCCAGATGAAACTAAAATGTTCCCTTAAAGTGAGCTTTGTCCAAATAACTTAAAAATGACTAGATGTATATAATTTTTGAGTGTCTCGTACGTAATTACGAGATGAAAATGCATCCGATTTCGTGGTGAAGGGCAGCAAAACTTAAAAACGTATTTTCTAATCGATATATGTCTCGATATGTTTTATGTGTATAGATTATATGTTGATTATTTTTAGTTCAATTACATACATTTTACAAATATCTTTGTATACTCTAAAAAATAAAAAAAAAAACTTAAAAATAATCTAAAAACATACTACTAAAATTCAATATGAAATACATTGTGCAGTAAAGTCAATAAGCTATCGAACATTCTTATTAATTGCAAATTTAAAAATTCAACGTCTTGGTTAACAACTGGAAGCATGGCTGATATACCATTCAAAAATTAGATTATAAATTAAAGTATCAATTACATTTTCCATGCCCAAAGAAGGACAAAGACAGAGCCGGTTAATAATCGTTGAGCCTGAGTCGGTTCCTAGCCATACTATTCAATAAAATTCCCATACATATTTCATTTTATGTACATATTTTCATAGTCTACCTAACTTCACTGGAAAACAACTACAAATTAAATTTTAAACTACGTATTAGCACCATATCGGAAGCAGAAAGCGTTACACAGCGGCGGTGCAATGTCAGCATGTATGCATCCTGCAGAATTTGGGTTAAAAACATTTCGGTTGCCTCCTGTATGGCTTCCAATGCCGTAGTCGTGTAATGGGTTACATCTTGACTCATTTCCATTGTAATTTCCCTTACCAGCCTGGCGAATGGCGCTCTTGGTATTTGTAACTCTAAGCGACGAGAAATAAAATAAATAATTAGTTATTTTTTTATTTTATAATTTAAAACATACTTGTATTCTTTTGCAGTTTTAGCATTTTTCTCAAATCGGCTATTTGCCGCTGACGATAAGACTTCTGTTTACGTCGCGCAGCACCTCTAAGAGCAAGTTGTGCTTCCTGTCTTTCGCTTTGTTCATTTTGTACTTCTCTTAAGACCAAATCTCCCCTTTCTAAAGCCTGACGACTGGTGGATGGCGGTATTGCATATGGATTGTCTATGTGGGAGTATGGTTGGGTACTAACTTCACTATCGCTTGCTTCTCCCAACGTTCCACGAGCTATGCTTCGCGTTGTAACGCTTCTGCGTTCTATTGGTTTTCTCGGCGGCATTTTATACAGCCTTTCCTGAACTTCAAATTGCAATTTTTAACAAAACAAATTTGTTTTTAGTTTGAAAGATTCGTTTAAAAAAACCAAAGCGCGTCCTTTTTTAATTTGAAAATGTCAAACTTGTTTACATATTTTTGACAAATAACAAATGGAAATAGGGTGGCTCAAAAATCGTAATTTTTACAGAGTAGCGATTATGTGTTTATCGATAACACAATTAGCAATGACACCATGTTTACATTGAACGTGCATTTTAGAAAAACCGTAGACTCGATTTTTCGTTTATGATATCCAAAAAAAATGTAAAACTAGTACACCCAGCAGTTTCTGGAAGAGAGAAATAATAGCACCACCACGGTTTTTAAAACCTACACCACATAGTGGTAAGGGTATTATATCTTTGGGCATTTGTTTGTAACACGAAGAAGGAAACGAGAGACACCCATAGTTAATTTTGAGGATCTTCATAGAATCACTTTCTGAGTCCGTCCCTCCGTGTGTCCATGTAAACGATTGAGATGAAATTTTGCAAATGATATTTGTTTGGCCAAGGATGAACCCTATTGAAGAGAATCGGTTTAAATTTAGATAGCTCTCACATATATCTTCTACTGATTTCGGTCAATGTCACCAAATGACCAATACCATTCCAAATGACCTGAATTTTGGCACATCCGACCGAATTTAGTATAGAAGCAAGCACATCGAATTTGGAGAAAATCGGTCCAGATATAGCTACAGCTCTTATATATATGTTTCATCCGATTTGAGGTTTTAAGTACCTCATATGCGTAATATGCACTCCATAAGAATGATATTTGAGCATCAGATACTGCTCGAAAATACCTCTGTGAAATTTAATTGAAATCGGATCTGATTAGGATATAGCTCCCATATATATATATATATATATATATATATATATATATATATAAATTTAGAAATTCCGACTAAATTCATCCTAGAAACCAGTACTTCAAATTTGGTGAAAATCGGTTCATATATACCTATAACTTCAATATAGATGTTTTATCCGATTTGGGGTTTAAAAACCCTAACGCGCGTAAAATGCACTCCACAACAATAATCTTTAGTACCAGCTATCAGATACATCTCAGAAATAAGTATTTAAAATTTTATCGAGATCGGTTCAGATTTGGATATAGTTCCCAAATATCCGATTTCAGGTCTTTTGTACACCGAATGGCTAATATCAGCCCAAATGAACTGCATTTTGGTACTTATTTTAACAAACTGTTCTCCCTCTCCCAAGAAAACACATTCCACTTTCAAGCAAAATTGGCGCCTTTTCAATAAAACTGCCGATTTTATTACTTGTTTTGGCACCACTGTTACCATTTTAAAGTTAAATCGCAAGTACTTTAAGTTGACAACATTGTTTACAAATTTGCTCTGTCGCGCCGGAAGTGGGGGGCATACTTGGGGGAAACTTAAAAATTCAAAACATTGCTTGGCACACGAGAATCGTTCAAACAGTTGTTGTCGAACCGCACGAGAGCGTATATTTGCTCACAACGGTAACGGTACGGTTGTGTGTTTTGTTTTGCTTTTTACTTGTTTTTTTTTTTCATTATTCGGTGATTATATAATTATTTTCTTTACTATTTGCTGTGCCATGTTGTTTGTTTGTTTCAAAGTCCAAAAGTGTGTGAGATAAATACATGAATGACAGAAAATTGATTAAAAAACAAACTTTTTTAATTTGTGCAAAAAGAAAAAAACGATGGGAATTACTTCAGAAAAATCTAAAAAAAATCAATTACGATTTAATTGAAAGACAAATTGAAACATGAGAACAATTTTCACATAACGTCAACGTCAACGACAACGACATTGAGGCCGCTTTATTTATTTGCTTGCAGTTTACATTTTATTGCCTAGAGGTGCATTTGGAAACGAAATTCTGTGAACTTGAACTTGGTCTTTAGTTTACTCTTTACAAATCTCCGCCATAGACAAATGAAAATATAGACAACGAAATGCTCTCACCGTTTATCTTCGAAGAAAATCGAATCAGCAGATGTCGTCTATATCGTTTAAGGGGTTTGAGTGAGAATATTGAAGTCACTCAATTCTAAAACGTTAAAAATAACAAAATCTGTAGGATATTTGTCAGTTGGAAATTGTTCCATAATAAAAGACAAGTGAAAACTATGTAGTGACATCGAAAAATATGAGAATATTCCAGTGAAATTCTTGAAAAACGACAAAATGTGTTTTCGAAGTCGAGTGGGTTGAACGCGTAAATCAGCATGTTGACTATGCAAAACATGATGAGAGCCACCTGAAAAAAAAAAACGCAAAACTAACTTTTCGTTGTCTATATCTTCTTTTGTCTATGTCTCCGCCTTCGTACTCCTTCGCTGCTCTCAATTTGTGGAGCCGAGTGGTGGCGGCAGCAGTGCGGCAAAACAAAACTTGATTCTGTTACATTTGTTGTTGTTATAAATTGAAACACGTTGGCCCATTGCTATCTCCATATCTCATACTCTTTGTTTTTTTTTTTCTATCTTTCGTTTGTTTGTTCTCATTATTGTCTCCACCCAAACAGATATTCATAGTATAGCCAGCCACAACTACGACGACGGCAACAACAACAAAATGGATGCACTAAGTGATATATTGGCGCCTTACAGTGATGACATTGCCAAATTTGCCGGTTCCGTAACATGCCTGCAATTTTTATCCGGTGTTTTTCTGCTCAACGATATTCGCAAAAAGAAAAGCAGTGACACATATCCAGCGGATCCATTCCTGGGCGGTATTGTTTTGTAAGTATTATGGTATGGAGGGTATATAAAGTTCGTCATCCCGTTTGTAAGTAATCGAAATAATAATTTTTGACCCAACAAAGTATATATATTCATGATCAGCGTAAAATTCTAAGATGATTAAGACCCATCCGTTCGTTCGTCCTTTTTTTAATGGAATTGTCTGAAATTCTACACAAGGAGTTTTTCGTGACTACTTTACCCCCCGAAAAAGAATTATATTTGATTGTATTGGGTATTTTGATGATTTTAGCCACATTTTTCAATGGAATTGCCTTAAAATCCATACAAGGAGTTCCTTCTGAGTACTTTACCACCTCAAAGAGTATTGTCTATATAGGTCCACGATGTCGTATATTCCCCATATAACTATACCTCCCGAAATTCGGCATTTGGATGATTTTAGTCACATTTTTCAATGGCATTGTCTGAAATTCTACACAAGGAGATCTCTATGAGTACTTTACCCCCTGAAAGAGTATTTTCTATATAGGTTCACGATATCGTATAGTTCCCATACAATGATATTAGCGACATTATTCACCGGAATTGTTTCATATTTCGTATTTAAATTTCGGAATCATTACTACAGTTTATGACTTATCTAGCACCGCGTCTTTGTATAGCCCCCATATAAAGGTTTTCATTTGAGCGGTATTTTTGACGATTTTTTTTTTATTGAAAATTTTCAAGTTTCTTCCGGTGGAGTTAATAAAAAGTTCAGCCCGGCCGATCTCAGCTGTTTCCACAAAGTATATGGGTATACAGGGTGAGATGAAAAACCTGCAACCAATTTCAGACTGCTGTCATTTCCAAACCACTCGTCCGACAGCTGTTAAAATTGTTTCAGTGACAGCTAAATATATTGTTTACAAGAGTACAAAAGCTTTTTTCTGAGAATTTTCCAGAAAAAAAGTTATTCGTGATGGAATTCAAGCGTGATAGTGTGATTTCTTTATATTTGGCTGGAAAACCACAAGTGGCTATCGTTAGAGCACTCCAGCATTTAAATGTGAATAAATCTTTTGTGTCTCGTACCATCGCTTGTTACCTTGATAATGGTAGCGTAGCCCGAAGTCAAGAAAGTGGATGGAAGAAAACAGCAACATCAGCAGAAATGGTTCGAAAAGTAAAGAAGCGATACATATGATCTAAAAACGCGTCACAGTGGCCGAAAAATGGTTCGTGAGCTGAACATATCGCAACAAAAGAGCTAAAGAGTTGCTTCGCTTGGCCGAAAATAGTGGTGAACTGGCGGATTTTTTTTCTCCGATGAGAAAACATTCGTTGTCCAGCGGTTTGGAAACAAACAATATGATCGTGTTTACTTGCCAAAGAGGTCAGCTGAAAATGTGCACCTTCGCTTGGCCACTAGAACTCTAGCGCAGGCCGGCAACCGAATAAATGCCGAATATTATCGCGAAAATATTCTGGACGGTTATTAAAGCACTGAGCACGCAAACATTTGGCCGCAGACCTAGGACATTCCAACAGGGCTCAGCACCATCTCACTCAGCACGCGCCACCAAAGAATGCTTACAGAATGGAGTTCATCGCCTCATTTCCAGCGCACAGTGGCCACCAAAATCTCCGGATACTAAAACTTTGGGCTATTGTGTCTGGAGTATTTTGGAAAGCAAGGTTGGCACTAAAAAATACCAAAGTGCCGATCACCTCAAGCAAGCGCTTCGCCGGGAATTGGCCAAAATACCGCAGAGCAACATTCGGTCAGCGTGTGACGGTTTCATTGGCCTTTTGGAGGCCATAATTCGTGCCAAAGTTGACCAATTCGGACAAATCTAAACTTATTCTAAAATTTTATGCTATTTCCGGCGTTTTTTGCTTTCATTCAATAGAATGTAAAAATAATGGCGTTCGACTTTGTAGTAGCATTTTTTTTATCTAACTCTGTATTCTTGGTCAGCTTTAAATGCAATATCCATGGCATAATTACAAAAGGTAGAACAAAGCTACACCCTAAATAAATTTTTTCTTTTTGTCAAAGATACAGATATTTTGTGTATATGTGTGTATTCTTTTGAATACGGGGCTTCCCCAATATAAGAATTTTGTTTATGTGGTGTTTCCACTACACTTGATTCGCTCTCTATTCGTTGTTTGAACCTTAACCATAGACAAATGAAAATATAGACAACGAAAAGTTAGTTTTGACTTTTTTCCAGGTGGCTCTCATCATGTTTTGCATAGTCAACATGCTGATTTACGCGTTCAAGCCACTCGACTTCGAAAAAACATTTTATCGTTTTTCAAGAATTTCACTGGAATATTCCCATATTTTTCGATGTCATCACGTACTTTTCACATTTCTTTTATTATGAAATAATTTTCAACTGGCAAGTATCCTACAGTTTTTGTTATTTTTAACGTTTTAAAATTGAGTGACTTCAATATTCCCACTCAAACCCCTGAAACGATATGAACGACATCTGCTGATTCGATTTTTTTCGAAGATAAACGGTGAGAGCATTTCGTTGTCTATATTTTCATTTGTCTATGCCTTAACTATGAAAAAACTACCTAATTCTTCACACAAAATTTCCTGAGCGAACACTCATATTTGTACGTTGTTCAAAACAAATCACTCTCAGAACAACGAAAAAATATGTCCCATCCCTACCAAATGAGAGCATTTATCGAAAAAATAAATTATGACATTTAAAAATTAAAAATAGAAAAAATTGATGAAATTTAAAAATTTTTGGGAAGACTGAAAATTATGAATGAATGGCGTATGTACATTCAAACGAAAGTAAATTTTGTTTTCTCTCTCATTCGAGGTACGCATTTGGTCCACGAGTTAAATTTTCCACAGAAAACTGCAAACAAAAGAGGCAATATTTTCAAAATGTTTCTATCGGCAGAAAAAATGTTTGACAAGTGTCTCTCCAGCAGAAATTAAAAATGGAAAAACACAAAATATGTTCAAAATGTCAACATTTACACAAAAAGTTGAAAACTTGAATGAAAATTGTAAAATTAATGATATAATAAATCTTTGGGAGGAAAACAATAATTTCTTCTATTCATATTAGTGAGAATTTCATGTATTTTCGTATAAATTCCCATTAAAATCAACAAACAAAATTTTTGGAAAAAGGAATTACTTTAGTATAAATTACGAATCGTGCCGTATGAACAGTTTAATTCGTGTACCTAATTCTGAGAGCGAACAACGTTGTTCGGTTTCCAATGGAAACATGCTATTAAAAAAAATTAAAAATAAACAAAGTATTTCACCATTCCGTGGCAAGTCACTGTCACCACAACACACCCTTTGTTTTCATTCGTTTTTAATCTCATCTCCCAATCCAATTACCATTTTCCACAATTTGTATGAGACCGTGTTCGGCGGCGCGAAACACTCCTTAAAACGTCGCCACGCATTGCATTTAAATTAGATGAGAGTTTTTTCAATTACTCCGCTGTTATCATTTATTTTTTATCTTGATTTTGTTTGCTTGAAAATACATTTTTATTGCTTTTACAACTGATTAGATTAGTTTTTTTTATATTTTGTTGTTTTACTATTCCTACATTTTATTCTAATCACAACGAAGGGGGGGGAGTAGCGTTGTGAGTGTTGCCGGTCAGTGGGAATTTCATCATTTTAGACTAGGAACTGATATACATTTCTTTTTATTTCCGATTAAGTGTGCCAAATGCTTGAGGTCTTATCATGTTACAAAATGGAAACTGTATTAGTCGTGGAGCTTCCAATATTTCAAAAATTATCAAAATACTTAAGTTTTCGAAAGGGATTTTTCTTTGATAAGATTTGTAAAATTTTGCTGACGTAGCATTAGGTGTGTCTGGTTACCCTAAAGTTTGTAACAATTGTTACAAATTGTTACTGGAAGTCGTCTGTTAACCCAAAAGTTCTGCAAAAGAGAGCGGTTGGAGAGAGAAATTTTGACAGTTCTTTCAGTGAGAGTTTGCAAATTCTTGCTGGAAAAATTTCTTCTTGCAATCTCTTGCAACTCTTCTTCTTCTCATACATCGACATTCAATCAGATGTTTTCTATTGTTTGTTTATTTATTTTTGTGCTTTCAATTTGAAAATAATTTTTTTTGGAATTAGCAAGACTAATTGTTTTTGGAGAAAAACTTTACAAAACGAGAAAAACGTAAGTATTAATATGTAATAGGAAAATAAAAGACTATTTCCAGCATTTTTAGAAAAATGACGGAAGAAGATCAGTGTGTCTCTGTAGCCAGTGGTCAATGTCGGTCATCATTTTCCATGTTCTTTAAATTTTCACATCACAATAAATTTATTAGTATTAGATGAAGAGGAATATTTCGGTCCACTATATCAGCAATCATCCAAAAAATATGACATGTCTCATATAAAATGAAGGAAGTTGTCGATATACCTGATACCTTATTATGCTTATATCAGGCTTATGATATTAATGGACAATATTGGCCAACTTCTTCGGAATCACCATGGGAGTGATCAAAATCAACTTTTTATGCAGTCATTAAACAAATACAAATTCATTTAAATAATCAAACATTGGCTGAGGGTATACATTTGTCCGCAAAATGACTGATACTATTTAACTTTTTAATTAACAACTTGATTACCTTTTATAGGGACATGTCTGTCGATCACGACCAGTTTTTGAATTATGAAGCTGCATGTTCTTGTATTGCCGCTCCAAACTATAAAACTTATTTTCCACTTGCGCTATGGTAAAATCATGCCCATTCGCCTTAAGCTCCTCTGAAATCTTTGTCCACATCTGTTTTTTGTTTTTTAGCGAAGCCACTTTTCCGACTAAAGGCCGCAAATCCTTATATTTGTTAATTAAAAGTTTTGTTGAGGAATCCAACCAAATGGACTTTTTGCCGTCGGGCTCTGGGCTTTGTGGTTCACAGCCTTCTTCGAGTTGGCATTGAGGCTCAAAGATCGGGTTAAACACAAGTGGCTCCTCCATGCTTTCGTCGGAAACAACATTCGGCGAAAAAATTAACTCGTCACATTCCTCAATCCCCTCGATACCACTTGCCAAAGCGTTCCTAAACTCTGTATCTAAAAGAAATGCAAATGTCATTATACAAAAGTATTTTTATTCTATGCAAAAAAAACTTACCATTACTAACACGTTTAAAAGTTTCTGGGGAACACATCAAATCTATCTTTCTTTTATTGCTCATTTTTTTATTTTATTTCCTTTTTATTTCAAAAACTTGTTAAACTGGTTGTGTTTTCTTTCTTTTAATTCTTTATAATGGCGGACTAATTGGTTTGTTTTGACAAATCAGCTGATTAGTTGCAAGCTTCTGCAGGGATGCCGTCTGTTTACTTTTCGCATTTTTCTTGCAAAAGAGAATAAAACTACCTTACTCTCTCAGAAAGAAGTTACTGGACAATTCCTGCAGGGAAAGTAACCAGACACACCTATTATATGCAAAAAAAAATTGCTTATGATATATGTTTGAAAATGTGTGTCTGACTGTCAATTTAAGCATATTGCGTGCTAACGTGTGCTCTAAACTTTCACAAAAAGGAGTGGTTTTTATTTTAATTTAAATAATTACATGGATGATTTCAGCTGACTAGGCCTTTACATCATGATTTAGGAAATTTGTGGAGGTCGTATCATAATGACCTTTTATGGTTCCTATAACAATTTTTATGGCAAAAGAATTCAGGTAGTCGCACTGACGCAGCTGCTGGCACAATGAACTGTCAAACCAATTTTAAATGAAAAATAATTAAAATTTCTAAAAATTATTCAAAATGCACTTCATATCAATCTCCGACTGGTGTTGTATAAGAAAACTTAAAAAATTACTAAAAAAAAAAACATTTTTTAAAATTTTTGACATATCAATGTTACCAAGTGTTGATGCATCTACCTGGATTCTTCTACCATGCGGTGAAGGTTAGAATACATAAAACGCTTTTTTGATTGACTTAAGTCATTTGCTGGCCTTTTTCGTTGAGGAACAAAGGAGTTCTAGGTTGACTTTGTTCTCTCTTTGTTCATTTTTGAAGAAGCCAGCCAATGACTTAAGCCAGTCAAAAAAGCGCCTTATGTATTCTCACCTTTAGGGTTTTACATACGGGGTGAGATAAAACACTGCAACAAAGTCAAACGCCATAATTTTTATTATTTTTTTTTTAATTTCAAGGAATGAAAGCAAAAAATTTCAGAGAAAGCATCCAATTTTAGAATAATTTAATTTTCGCCATAATATTCGGCATTTAATCTTATGCCACGGTCGATTAATACGAGCGGAGAGCAATAATCGGCTGTTATGGCGGCCCACACCATCACCATGGCCGGTGCTTGAGTTCTGGTGGCCAACCGAAAGTGCACATTTTCAGCTGAGCTCTTTGGCAAGTAAACACGATCATTTTGTTTGTTTCCAAACTACTGGACAACGAATGTTTTCTCATCGAATGTTTTCTCATGCCAAATTCGGAAGTTCACCACTTTCGGCCAAGCGAAGCAACTCTTTAGCGCTTTTAAGTCTGTTTTCTATCTGTTGCGGTGTAAGTTCTTGCACTTTTGGGAATTTCAATGACTTTACCCCGAGCTAATTTTTCAATATTTGCCGAATGGAATATTGCGATATGTTCAGCTCACGAGGCCTATTTCGGTCACTGCGAAGCAGTTTTCGATCAAGTCGCTTCTTTACTTTTCGAACAATTTCTGCCGTTTTCTTCTGTCCACTTCCTTGACGTCGGGCTACGCTACCAGTATCACGGTAACGAGCGATGGTACGAGACACAAAAGATTTATTCACATTTAAATGATGGAGTGCTCTAGCGATAGCCACTTGTGGTTTTCCAGCCAAATATAAAGAAATCACACATGGTAGAAGAATACAGGTAGATGCATCAACGCTTGGGAACATTGATATGTTAATATATTTTTTTAATTTCTTTTCGAATATAAGTAGATTTTTTATGTGTTTTCTTATACGACGTCATTCGAAGCTTATTATAATACGTGCTTTTTAACAATTTTTACAAATTTAAATAATTCTTCATTCTACATTTTAAATTCCAAAATTGGTTTGACAGTTCATTGTCCCAGCAGCTATGTCGATGCTTCTACCTATATTTTTCTACCATGGAATCACACTATAACGCTTGAATGAACTTTTTTTCTGGTAAATTCTCACCAAAATGTTTTTGTACGCTTGTAAACAATATAATGAACTGTCACTGGAATACTTTTAACAGCTGTCGGACGAGTGGCTTAGAAATGACAGTGGCAGTTTTTTCATCTCACCCTGATGAGTAAATGCATCAACCTTTGGAAACATTGATATGTCAAAATTTTTCATATGATAACAAGAATTTACAAACTGTCAGTGAAAACACTGTCAAAATGTTGCTCTCAATAGCTCTCTTTTCCAGAACTTTTGTGTTTACAGACGGCTTACAGTAACAGTTTGCAATACACACCTATTTTTTCGAAGGACGTTCAGACACATCTATTTTTTCGAAGGACGGCCTAATTGTGGATTTTTGAAAGAGATGATAATTTTAGTAGTTTTAAAAGCATTTTCGAAGGATTTTTAAATCAATAGCTAAAAAAAATTGGAACTTCAAAAAAAATTTAATAAAATTAGATTTTACAGAATTTTAAAAATAATTTTTTTGGAAGGTCCTTAAAGAAAAAATATAATTTTTTTAATCTAGAAAATAATTGAAAAATCGGTCCACGATATCGTATAGCCCCCATACAACGATACCCCTCGATACGGTAATTTGATGATTTCAGCCACATTTTCCAATGGAATTGTCTGAAAATTCATACAAGGAGTTCCTTCTGATTACTTAACCCTCTGAAAGATAATTGTTTATATAGGTCCACGATATCGTATAGCCCCCTTACAACGGTAACCCCGATATTTGTTATTTTGATGATTGTAGCCAAATTTTTTCAATAAAATTGTCTGAAAATCCACATAAGGTTTTCCTTCTGGAAGTTTACCGAATGTCATTTTTTTTCAAATTTTTCAAATTCGTTCCAAATGGTGGGGGGTATTCAAAGTTCGGCCCGGCCGAACTTACTGCTTTTTTAATGTTTGGTTTTTCTGGGATTACTTTTTTGAAGCAATTTCTGAAATAATAATATTTTTAACGAACTAACAATGGATTGGTGGATGTTTAAGAATAATTTATGAGGATCTTTTCAGGGCTATAATATTTTTTGGATGACTTTCAGTTCTATAATCGAAGATTCCTTAAATGATAATAATAAAACTATTATTACAATAATTATTAGTAATAATAATGTTTAAAAACCTACTCAAATGCCCACTCCATTTAAAATAAAAATTTTCAATTACGAATTTTTATATTGCTGGCCGTTATTACTTTTTTTTCGTTACAATAATTGCCTTCTGTTGCCTTGTGCAAGACCGCCATGACTTAAAATTCCTTAAAACGTGTTTCCTCCACCTAACGTTATATCTGTAAGTCAGTCAGTCGTTCAGTCACAACAACATGCAAATTACAGTAATTTATAGTTGTCGAGATTTGTTCAACTGATGTCGTAGAAGGCAGCCGGCAGGTGAGCATTGTGACGGCCAAGTGCATGTCAAAAGTAGAAAAAAGTGCAACCGTTGAAGTGTTTATATTTACCGCTTAGACTTTTAGGTCAAACAGAACCAAGTCTAAGACAAGTGGTTGTAAAAGAATCAACTGGTTGTGGCTCACTGTCTGTTTGTTTGTTTGTTTGTCTCTCTCCAAAAGGGTCATAAACTCAAGAGAATGTTAGGGCAATGAAAAACGAAAACATTTTGTAGTGGGTGTAGATAGTTTGTCTTTTTTTGTTGTTGTACCGGACGAACAACAAACAAATGCAAATGTTCAGGTGATACATGAATGTCTTTTTTGTGGCATTTCCTTGAGTTGCATATTGTTGACATTTTTGTGCTAATTATTATACAATGTAGGACAGCTGGGGCATGATATAGTTTTCATCACAACAAGGTCAAAGAATTTCGACTACAAGTCATAGGTAGTATCGGTTTAGAGAAATTTATCAAACGTAGTTTTACTGTCGTTATTTATTTACTCATTGCCAGAAGTTCTGAGTTCTGTAGATTCCTTTCTCCCATTAGTCCTTCAAAATGTATCGAATATATTTATACCCTACACCATATAGAGTCTGTTTAGTTTTGTAGAATCTGTACATGTTTTAAAAATAGAGTCCATGTTTTTTTTTTTAACGCAGTACAGGTCGCATTTATTGCCCGATCGAGGTGACGGCGAACCCTATGCAAATAGGAGATAATAGGTTAACATTTAGATATGGCTCCCATATACATCTTCAACCGATTTCGGTTTAGTTGTGCACCGAATGACCAGTATCAGTCCAAATTACCTGAATTGTGGCACATCTGACCACATTTTGTCTTGAAGCTAGTGTATCAAATTTGGTAAAAATCTGTTCAGATTTAACTATAGCTCCCATATAGATGCTTCATCCGATTTGGGTTTTTAGATCCCTCTCAAGCGTAATATGCACTCCACAACAATGGTGTTTGGTACCAGATATCAAATACAACTAAAAAAAAGTGCATACAATTTTGTCAAGATCGTTTCAGATTTGGATATAGCTCCTTTACCAGATTTCAGGTTTATTGTGCACCAAATGGCTGATATAACCCCAAATGGACTGAATTTTTGCACTTCCGACTGAATTTTGGTCTAGAAACAAGTACATCAAATTTGGTGAAAAACACCAACGCCATATTTTTTTGAATTTTTTTAAACTTTATTGAATGAAAGTTAAAAATGTCAGAAATAGCTTCAAATTTTAGAATAAGTTTAGAGTTGTTCGAATTGGTCACCTTTGCCACGAATTTGGCCTTCAAACGGCCAATGAAACTGTCACACGCTGCCCGAAAGTTGCTCTGCGGTATTTTGGCCCATTCCCGGCGAACCGCTTGCATGAGGTGATCGACACTTTGGTATTTCTTAGTGCCAACCTTGCTTTCCAAAATACTCCAGAAACAATTGCCCAACGGATTGGTATCCGGAGATTTTGGTGGCCATTATGTGCTTGAAATGAAGCGAGGAACCTCATTTTGTAAGCATTCTTGGGTGGCTCGTGCTGAGTCTGCGGCCAAAATGTTTGCGTGCCCAAGGTATAATAAACCCTCCAGAATATTTTCGAGATAATATTCGGCATTTATTCTGATGCCACGGTCGATTAATACGAGCGGAGAGCGACCATCGGCTGTTATGGCGGCCCACACCATCACCATGGCCGGCGCTTGAGTTCTGGTGGCCAACCGAAGGTGCACGTTTTCAGCTACCATCTTTGGCAAGTAAACACGATCATTTTGTTTGTTTACAAACTGCTGGACAACGAATGTCTTCTCATTGGAAATTCGGCAGTTCACCACTTTCGGCCAAGCGAAGCAACTGTTTTGCTTTTCTTTCTGTTGCGGTTTAAGTTCTTGAACTTTTTGGAATTTCAGAGGCTTTACCCCGAGCCCATTTTTCAATATTTGCCGAATGGAATATTGCGACATGTTCAGCTCACGAGCCATTTTTCGGCCACTGCGACGCGGGTTTCGATCAAGCGCTTCTTTACTTTTCGAACCATTTCTGCTGATGTTGCTGTTCTCTTCCGTCCACTTCCTTGACGTCGGGCTACGCTAACGGCAACGAGCGATGTTACGAGACACAAAAGATTTATTCACATTTAAATGCTGGAGTGCTTTAACGATAGCTACTTGTAATTTTCCAGCCAAATATAAAGAAATCACAGTATCACGCTTGAATTCCATCACGAATAACTTTTTTTCAGGAAAATTCTCACCTAAACGCTTTTGTACGCTTGTAAACAATATAATAAGGTGTCACTGGAATAATTTTAACAGCTGGAAAGTGAAATGACAGCAGTCTGAAGTTGGTTGCAGTTTTTTCATCTCACCCTGCATTTTGTTAATTTGTACTGGGGGTGCAAAAGTCTCCGTTAAAATCGATTCAGAGTTGGATATAGTTCCCAAATTGTGACTACTCTAAAGCCATGATACATATAGTCGGTCCCGCCTGACTTTTGACCTTTCCTTACTGGTTTTGTTTTTCAGATCTTATTATTCTTTTAAACTAAATTATATAATTGCGTATATTACTTTGTAACAACATCTAACTTCCATTCTTTTGATTTTGTATTTTCAGAACAATACTGAGTCTGAAAATGGGCGCACTAATGGGTGACGAGGCAATGATCAAAGTCAATGTAATTGGTTTTGCCATTAACGTCATCTTCATGGTCGTGTTCTATTGGTATGCCTCAGAGGCGGGTCGATCGAAAATCTGGTCTAAAATTGGCATGTATTTCACATTTACATTGGGTTGCCTGGCGTATGCCAACTTTGAAGATCCCGCCAAAATCGAATTCCGCTTCGGTATGTTAATCACCGCCATTCTAGTAATGCTTGTGGGTATGCCGCTTTTGAATTTGGGTAAAATCATTGAAACCAAGAGCACTGAAGGTCTACCATTCCCCCTGATATTGTCGGGTACAATTGTGGCTGCTTCATGGGCTGCCTATGGCATTTCAATCCGCAATCAAATTGTGGCGGTGAGTCATTTTGCAGTTTACTTCGTTGCAATTGATTTCTAATTTAATCCATTTATTTTTGTTGCAGTATCAAAATTTGTTCTTATTCTTCTTGAGTTTTGTACAACTGTCATTGTTCGCCATCTATCCCACGAATCCAACAGAGCAAAAGAAACCGGCCGATGATGGAACGCCATATAAAAAATTGACATCAAACAACAGTCCATCCAAATCAAAAGCTAACAAGAAACGTGATTAAAAACTACAACAAATAAATGGCACATTGCACAAAAGAGCTTTGCTTTGCTACTTTAATAACAACAATTTAAAGAAATAATCAAAAAACATAAAAAGCTTTAACTTTAAATTCAAATCATAAGTGCATAACTTTTTGACAATAATAAAACATCTTCCAATAACGTATAACGATAAACATATTTACTCTATTTTTTTAAACATTATTTCACATATCTACTGTAATCGTTGTTATTTAGTATAATGTAATAATTATTATTACAATTGTTGTTGTTTATCATTTCTATTAGCAATAAAATTGTAAGTAAAATATTTAAAAATATGAAATAACTCTCACAAAAAAAACACTTTGTAAACATACTAAATGCCCATATATTTCGGCAACTATATATTGTCGAAAGAAATAAAATTAAGAGCTTATTACAAAAACAAATTTATAAAAATGGGAGTTTTTTTTTTTCGATAAAATTGTATGAAAAAATAATTGTACACTAAAAAAACAATTGTTACATGCTTTAAAAGTATATTTGACATAATAAGACTCTTGAACAAAGTTGCATTTCTCCTTTGGTTTGCTTGGAAGTTGCTTTTTGCTTTGGAAGTTGAACTACCTCTCTGTGTTTGTCATGATTCAAGGTAACCTCGTTTCAAATAATTATAACCAGTTCTGAATTTTCCGTAATATACCTTTAAATTTAACTTCATTGGAAACGTGTCCCCATCTTTGGTTTTTCTATATACAACGGATTTAAAAATATAATTTATAGGATGTTTTCAAAGATATAATTTTAAGAACATTGTATGATGGCCTTCTTAAAATTTCCATGGGAAATGAAAAGTGTTTTTATAAAATTTTTAGTTTTTGCTAATTTAAAGAACATGAATTGAGCACCATCCCTACCTTCCATGTTGGAAGAATACAGGAAGATGCATGAATACTTGTAAACATTTATGTCACAAATATTTTTTTTAATAAGTAGATTCTTCGTCTAATGGAAGTCGTTATGATACGCGTTTTTCAATCATTTTTACAAATTTAAATAATTTTTCACTCAAAATTTTAAATTTCAAAATTGGTTTGAAAGTTCATTGTTCTGTGTCGATGCGACTACCTGTATTCTTCTACCATGCTACCATCTACAGGGTTAGATAAAAAACTGCAACCAACTTCAGACTTCTGCCATTTCTAAGCCGCTCTTCCGACAGCTGTTACAATTATTCCAGTTCCAGCATATTACATTGTTTACAAGCGTGGAAAAGCATTTTGGTGAGAATTTTCCAGAGAAAAAGTTATTCGTGATTAAATTCAAGCGCGATAATGTGATATCTTTATATTTGGCTGGAAACGTTAAAACTCTCCAGCATTTAAATGTGAATAAATCTTTCGTGTCTCGTACCAACGCTCGTTACCGTAATACTAGTAGCGTAGCCCGACGTCAAGGAAGTGGACGAAAGAAAACAGCAACATCAGCAGAAATGGTTCGAAAAGTAATGAAGCGACTTGTTCGAAATCTGCGTCGCAGTGGCCGAAAAGTGGCCCGTAAGCTGAACAATGGCTTTACACCGAGCTCATTTTCAATATTTGCCGAATGGAATATTGCGATATCCATTCGGCAAATAGTGAAAAATGAGCTTGAGGTAAAGCCATTGATATTCCAAAAGTGGTGAACTGCCGAGTTTGGTTTTCTCGATCACCTCAAGCAAACGATTCGCCGGGAATAGGTCAAAATACCGCAGAGCAAAATTTGGACAGCATGTGACGGTTTCATTGGCCGTTTGAAGGCCATAATTCGTGCCAAAGGTGAACAGTTCGAACCAATCTAAACTTATTCTATTTGATGATGCTATTTCCGACATTGCGACATTTTGGCGTTTGACTTTGTTGCAGTTTTTTTTATCTCACCCTGTATATGAATGTAGCATGGATGTAGGTATGGCACAAACTGGTTTGTAAAAAATATTAAAATACAACCCGGAGTTAAGGCCCACTTTCTATCAAAACAATTAGAAATAAGAGGTCTGTCTGGCTACTTTTGCTGCAGGTTCTTTGTAAGACAAATGTGAAAAGTTAACCGACAGAATTCATGCAAACTCTAGAAAGTAATCAGCTGATTTGTCAAAACAATTAATGAACTAAATATGAGCCGAAAAACAAAACAATTACGCTTGAGATTTTCAAAATATATAGGCAGAGTTGCAAGCAGAAATGTTTACGGCAAGAATTTGTAATCTCACAGTATTTCTCGAATCGTTCTTTTTTGCAGAACGTTTACGTTAACAGGCGACTTCCGGTAACAATTTGCAATAATTCTTACAAGGTTTAGGGTAAACAGTACAATTTTTTATTTATTTCATTCATACCGAAAAACTGCAGTTTGCGAAATTATGATGTTCTTCATTTATTTGACGTATAATCAATGTAATTTATAATTCAAGTGACGCATATTATTTCTACCGAAACTTCTTCAAAAGGGATTAATTTGAAGCGTATGCACGGAATTCGACAGTTTAAATACGCAATCTTTACACTTTCACTACAATATAAACGTATAATAAGGTTGCCAAATCTATCAAGTGGTAATTGGTGACCCCAAAGGTAACTTTCAAAATGAGTATGTGTCCTTCCTTTGGTTTTTCGCTGTTGCAGTGAAAAAACATTTTCAGCATTGTTTTTAAAATCTATATACGAAATAACGTTCAACAATAATTCAACATGTTTATTGAGGTGAATATTTTTCTCGTGGAACGCATTTAATTTAGGTAGGTTCTGTTGACGCACACATTGGACGAGTACTTGGTAATCAAATTAAATACAAAAAATATCTCGTCGCATCAAAACTTGAAAGAAAGATTATTTGTGCAGAAATTTACAATTTTGCTAGCATATTTTAATAAAAATTATATTATTATTTTATACAAATGCTGGGCAATTGATTTTTATTAAATGTATAGAATATTCAATCTATATAAAAAGGTTTATCTTCTCTGAATTGCGTTGAGAAAATTTTGCATTTTCCCAGACATATGTGTGTGTGTTGACACAGGTTACGACAACCAACAAGCCGTCAAAATTCCATTGTTTATTTGGTAAGTACAATAAAGTTTTATACATTAGCCGGAAAAATATTCGTACACATTGAAAAGAAATGTTTTTCGTTTGTATTTCAAGTTTTTTATTCAATCAAAGAAAAAAATAGCTTTTAAATTAATCTTTGGGTGAAACTGTCTTGTGTTTGTTCATGTTGTTCTATATGCTGGAAATGTGCATTTTACGGCATCACGATACAAGGGTCAATAACCTTTCTTACTTCAACTGGTCAAACAAAGACATGAAATGCTACCAGACCAGAAGCTCTGGCTGCAGCAGCTCTACCGTTTTTCAGAATAAGAAGAGGAAACCTGGCCATAGAAATATGACCGCAATTCATGCCTCTAAATAGTTTTTTCATCGTTAGAATTTGATCAAATGTTAGTTTATTCTGTATTTTCACCGTGTTATTATACCATCAGGATTATGGTTTCATTTGACTTGAAACGAAAATCGCATTTTATTGAGTCCTACTTAAGGTACCATAAGCCATTTTGTATTATGAACATTGTTAATTAAATGTTTATTAAATTTTCATGTACCGCGTTCTTTGTGGTTAGAAAACCACAATGAAAATGTCATATATCATTTATTTTAAAAGCATAATATTTGAGCAATTAACAACATGTGAAGGTAGAAATGTGGATATCACGCATTTGAAGTTTTTTTTTTTAACTAATTCTATTTTCAAAGTTGGGGCGATATAAAAGTTCTGGAACAAGACCAAATATAACCCTATTTGATTTCTTCTGAAGTGTACGAATCATTTTTCTGTCTTGTGTGTTCGGATCAATCGGAAATAATGCATTTTTCTTGCGATTTCTTTAGGTAATAATTAATTTGACAAGTGTATAAATACGTCACAGTTTCTTTCTATCGCGCGTTGCTTTATTTTTTGCGTGTGTGTTTTTGAAAGTATTGAAGAAAAATTGAAAATTTGAATAAAAAAATTAACTAACAATATGGATATAACACCTGGTGAACCCGTGCCGCCTGGCTTTGAGGAAGAAGTACTCAAAGTACCACGCATTCAAAGTACCATTGACCAATATAAGGCTAATGCTTTAATTGGTATTGAATACACCTTGGAGTTGCACGAATGTGATCGTCCTGAGCCGGGATACTTGTGTGTTTTGTGCGACAAGCGTGGTGATGGTCGAACTATCCTACATCATTGGACTTCGTTCAATCATCGTATGAAATATTTGGAAAAACACTACCCATCGGCGGTTCGTGAATTCCAACCGGTCAAATATAAACCAAATTCCCATAATATTCTCATTGCCATAATTCAAAATATTGCCGAAGCCATTGAAGATTTTCATGGTCGCTTAAAGGTAAGAGCAATGGACGCAGATGAATTTCGACGCCAGAAAACCAAGCATACAGAGACAGTAATTTCCTCTTTTCACCACGATGAAAGAAACGGTCCGAATTTCCTGAGTGCCATTGATAGGTCCTTAATCGATGGAAGAGGTAAACTAGATGGAGCCAATAATCAACAAAAAGGTCATAAAAGAGGATCGCCTTTGGAAAAACCACCTCCAAAGAGGGATGAGTTTGATGCAATTTCAAGTGATTCCGATAACAATGATTCGGCGAAGAAACCAAAATTCAACAGTAGGGCACAGTATGCTGGTAAGCCCACCACATATGGTAAAGATGAACAGAAAGACGATAAAGAGAAGAAGTTGCCAACGCCCAAAGAATTATCGCTACAGGCATCCCATATAGCCCAAGAACGCTACAAATGGGAAAAGTATCGCTGTATGTTGGAAATCCATTTGAAGCAAGTGGAAAAATTGCAAAAAGACTATGAAAAGTCACCGGAAAAACATCCACAATATCCCGAAGAGTGGAAAAAGTTTTGGAATCGCCGCTACAAGGAATTGCAGGCCGAGAAAAAGGTTGATCCCAACAAACATGACTATAAACCGGAATGGATTGTGTTTTGGACGAAACGAATGAAAGAACTTTTCAATGCTGAAGTGGAGAAGAAAAAGAAAGAAATCAAAATTAAACTTGGTCTTCCAGAGGACGCTGAGGAGAAAGTCGACCAACTAAAGGAACGCTACAAAGTGACGGTAAATCGGGTACAAAGACAACCCATTTCGGATGTTATTGACATTAGCGATGACGAAAGTCCAGCTGGCCGTCGTGTTCGCCCAAGACGTACGCGGTCGCGTTCACGTTCTCGCTCTCCTCGCGGTCGTTCGCCACCACGTGGTCGTGATTATCGTTATCATTCGCGTTCACGTTCCAAATCACGTTCGCTTAGTCCATTTTCGGATGATTATGATCACATTAAGTCGCGTCACATGTCTAAACCACATCGCTCGGCAGGCTCTCGCGGTTACAATCCTATTGATACATCACCAGATTATTATCAATATGGTGGATCTTCACGTTATCCACCAATTCCTCATGTTGGTAGCAGTCACTATCCTCCTGCCCATGTATCTTCGGGACCATATCGCATTTTAGATTCTAGTAAAATACCCAAATACGAAGACACCAGTACCAGAGATTCAAAAGAAGATGAACAGAAAGAAGACGATGGACCTCTATCAGTGGTTGGGGTTTTACGTCTGCTCACCGCCCTCGAAGAACACTTGGGCAGTCTTGGGCCCAAAGTTGTTGATCTGTTGGGCAAGGCTTTGGCATTGGAAAAAGTAAAAGCCAATTCATCCGATGACCTTTTACTTAACGAAGATAATTGTGTATTTTTTGAAACTATCAAAGAAAAGCTAAAGGGTCTCTTAATCGCTGATGTTTTAGTTGATGATCCGCATAAAGTGCGTGCTGTTAAGAAAGCTATTAAAAATATTGCCGGAGTAATTTACCAAGTGACACAAGGTGAGTAAAAAAATTTAGTGTTACATTGTAAGTATCGATAGAATAGAATGTATATATTGTGTATATTTAGGGTAGTTGTTAAAATAAGTTTAAAAATTTAAGATTTAAATTTTTTTCGATGAGGAGCAATCGACGCGTTTGAAATGTAAAACACAAGAAGGTAAGGTATATTAAAAACAAATAAACAGATTTAGAAACCAGTTAAAAGTGTAAGTTAAACATTCCCTTGTCGATTGCAAGTATTGTTTTCGTCTTCACGTTTCTTTCCCGGAATTGAAAAACGTTGCTTGTTTACAAGTTTTCCTATGTCGTAATTTCCGGATTAAGTTATTTTTTTAACAAGTTTAAATAGTGCGGGAACATATTATTTGTTAAGCTGCAAGTGTAAATTGACAAAAAATTTTTAAATTCTAAAAATTATCAGAAAATGTTCTTCGATAACCCAAAAGTTTAGTAAATGAGAGCAGCGAGTGAAGAGAGTAGTTTTGACAGTTGAGTTACTGAGAGTTTGCAATTTCTTACTGGGAAATGCACCTCAAATTTGCACAATGAATAGTTTACAAATGGTACGAAAAGATTATTCATTTTCGGAGGAATGATCTCTCGAGCGAAATGCTTTCGTGGGAATAGTATTCCGCCAAAATATTCATGATTAGCTGGCATAAAAATATTTTTCGAAAACTTTCTGCAATATTTCTACACAAGAGAGGAAATTATAAGGTCTATAGATTGGTTGTACCTCCCAGCCGCTTGTGAATTAAATGAAAATAAAGAATAAAAGCAAAATAAAAATAATCTCTGTTTAAAGGTATTTAATGCATTTTATTCGACATCTGCTTAAAATTCATATTATTTTTCTATCTACGAGCCATTGTAAACGCAAGACAATTGTCAAACAACTCCCCTAGTGATTTGCCTTATCGTTTAAATATATTTTTGAAAATTTTTATTAAATTTGATATTTTTTTCGCTTTTACATTTTTTTTGGCATTTTTATTTAATATCTATATAAATGATTTGAGTACACCCAAATTTGGTATACATACCAGAGTTCAGATTTGCTCGTTTTTACTTACGTATGGAATTGCTCGAAAAGTAGAGTTTCACACGAAATTTACTTTACACTCTTTTGTTTTATGTGGGAGCACTCGCGAATTAATCCAGTTTGAAAAATAAGAGTGACAGTAAATCGGTGAAAAAATATTTTTTTACAGATTTGTGTGTTTTGTTGGTCTGTGTAGTGAACTAAAAAGTGGAACAGCAGAATGCCCTGTAAGCATTTGGAAGTGAGTACCTCACTCCCATTTGAAGATGCCTCTTCTGCGACGCTTCTAATTCTAATAAATACTATAGTATGTACAAAACTACTGTTGTCTGCTGTCTACCGTCACGGAGTTTCCACGTAGTGGCATCAAGGAAGATAAAATAAGTTGTCACGTGTGCAGACACTATTTCGTGACTTCCATCGGAAAAAATATCGATTGTTTGCAATTATTTACGAATTGAACAAAAATAAGACTTTATTCTATCTGAGGAATATAAGACAATGTGGCCAGTTTTGCTCTCTGAACATCTGGGTTCGATTCCCAAGCCAGACATCACATTTTTCAAACGAAAAAAAAAAATGTTTGAGTATTTCGTCTAATAAGTAAGGGTTATATGAAAGTGTACATTGGAAAAAGTACCAATAACAATAAAAAATAAATGCTAAAGTCTGGGTTAAAAAAATATATTTTTTTCACTTCCAATAACTGTTGAGGAAGTGACTTCCACGCTATTTAGTCATGCTTAAAAATATCGCGGGCGTGGTTCATTTGTTCCTAGGTGTGACTTCTTAGTGATTTGGGGGATAGTTTTTGCTCGCTGCGTGTATTGCAAGCTAACAGTGGACCTTGCATACAAAAACTACAAAAGCAAATACACATACAGTGTTCGTTCTGTATTTTCTCCAAGTCCGAATCGAAACAAAACCGATATTAAGATAACGGAACTTGTTTTTTTATTTTGTATTGTTTGTGTGGAGGGGTGAATACAGAACCAACTGAAATGTGCTCTGCTGGATGACACAATATTGAAGTAGGTTGATACAATTTTACTCAAATGCATCTTATGTCTGCAGGACTTTTAGTATTGAATATCGGCCATGTAGTTCCACGTTTTGGTATAGCCTCCATATAAGGTTACCCACCAATATTCGGTATTTTTACGATTTTAGCGACATTTTACAATGGAATTGTTTCAAATTTGGTATTGGAAGTTCGTAACGGATACTACAGCCTATTACAGAAAATTGTCTGTGCATGTCCACGTCTTCGTATAGCCCCCATATAACGGTACCCCCCTCCCTATATTCAGTATTTTGATGATTTTAGCTACATTATTCACCATTTTTTTCAAGTTTTGCATTTAATTGTTGTAATGGCTTATGACAAAAGTTGCCTTGTCGTCGTATATACCCTAATATAACGGCTACATTCGGTATTTTTAAGATTTTAACAGAATTTTTAACGGATTTTATTTTTTCCAAATGGTGGATGGTATTCGAGCTATTTTACTTGTTTTTACTCTCAAGATTATGACCGCTCGAATTGGAGTGAGTTTCACTCTCTACCAGAGATTGAGGAACATTTGAGAACTCTCATTTATGTGAGTTCTGAAAACAAATAATAAATAGCAAATTTTAATCCGTCTTTAATGAACATTGTAAAAAAACAAACAAGTCAAATGGGTGTTTTATTTGTATCATAATCTTAAAATAAGTATTTAAAAACATAAGGTTTAAGTGGTGTACAAATGTTAAATAATTGTTGCGTTATAAAAATAGTTATTTGTATAAAAATTTCTATGAAATTTCCGAAGCACCGTAAAATGTAATCGCCTTCGCCTTTGTTTTATATTAGTTTTTCGATCCGGAGACAAAAACGTATAGGAAATTATATTCAATAATTAATTTTATAAATGTTCAGTCTGAAGACGTACTATTAAACTGTTTTATGTGTGCGTTATCGTCCAGCATATTTTTTTATTGTTTTAATGAGGTTTTTGTATATCATGGAAACTATTTATTTTTTTGATTTTTTAGCCTGGTTTTTGCAATACTAAACTATTACTGCTATTGTGAAACAGTTCCTTTGTAATTTTGGTTTCTTGTCTCTGTTTCGTCACGACATACAGCACAATATCGTTTTGAAACATTTAAATATATTTCATTTGGGAAATGTATAAATTTACTCATTCATGTAGAATAAATTATCTTTATTCAGTAATAATATTATGGATGTGTTTATTTGAACGTCAATTGGGTAAATTGGGTTCCTAGGTTTATCCTCCTTTATGAGGATTTATTTGGCGTACATTCAATGAAATTGGCAATTTAAATCAACTGAGTCTACTAAGAGTTATTATAAAAAAAACCTCAAGCTATGAAATATAATTTTATTTAAATATGTTACATAAGCGATTGAATACACCATATTTCATTTTCTTGAAGGTTTAAGTTTCACGGTGTATTACAAAGTCTTTTCCTATGCGATTTTCATACATGCTCTGTTGCGAGCATAGAGATAACATCCCATTTTGTGGCTGTGTTGGAAAAAAAGTTAATTTAAATATGTCAACATATTTTATTTTTAAGAAGTGTTACGAGCATAAAAAAGTACTAGAATCAGCATCTTATAAAGTGGTAAATTCAACAAAAATCTTAACCAAGAGGAATTTTGTCAAAAACTAAGTAGAAATAAATTAAATCGACTTACTTTTGAAACCAAATTTTAATTCTACGTTTACTATCCGTTATATTTTTTTTCAACAATTTCGACTCTAGGTAACACCAACGAAGATGCCAAGGAAGAAAAAACAAAAGATTCATCGCTCACAATTGGAGGTGGTGGTGTTGGGGGTAGCGTTGGCAGCGTTCCAGCATTACACAAAAAGAAAATCAATGCAAAAGTAAGCATTAAAGATTTGCCATTTGATCGTCAAATGGTTGCCACGAAAATGGCAGCTGCCCTAGTGATGCAGGGGCGTGAAGACGTCTCCACCGATGATATGGATAAATTGATATATTTCTTTTTGCTAATGGTAAAATTATCCAAATCGAAAAGGGAACTTGATGGAAAACCATTGTATTCCAAGAATGTACTCTCCGAATTGGGTTTAATGCAATTGATTAATACACCATCGAGTAGTGCAAGTACTTTGCCAGGCCCAATAATAGATATTGGCCTTTTAGATGCAGATAGAGCATCGCTGCGACCCTCATCCATACGTAGCGATTTTGCCAAGGATGTTTCAGTTGATAAGGAAACACCGAAAAATGATGCAAATGCCAGTACATTGGAATCATTGACAGATTCTGATTTGCAGACTCTTTTGCAAAACTTTAAACATTTGTCCAGCGAAGAGCAACATCATCTAATTGCCCACCTAAAGAAACTGGAATCGGTAGATCCTGAACGTGTCGAGAAATTGAGGAAATATGTCAACACTTCGGATATAGCCTCAGAACCCATGCCAAGCACAAGTAAATCTTCGTCTGATAGCCTAGATGATGGTATGGGAAAGAAGCCACACTACTATTCGCCACATACTAACAATGATTCACCTTTTTCAGCAAGTGCTAAGGATGACAAACGTCAGGGTCGTTCGCCCAGCCATGATATTGATGAACGCAATAGAAATTCGGTAAACCCCAACAAGTTTAGTTTGGATGATGATGACGATGATGATTATAATTTCGATGAAGTGTTTAAGGCTGCCTCTAGAAATATAAACTCGGCTACACCCGAAGAAACCTCACAACACTCAATGAATGATGGCAAACCTAAATCGGCCAATGAACATATTGTTTCGTTGGCTTCACAAAATGATCTAACTTTCAATCCGGCCGGTCTCAAAGATCCATTGAGTGATACACAAAACCTCATTGCAAACCTAATGGGTTCATTGCAACAAAGCAATTCCAAATCGGCAAATATCTTACCGCAGCCAGTTCCTCCTGTTGGCCAAAAACCACAGCAACCGCCTCAACAGCAGCCACCCCCACCACCACCTGCCCAGCAATCCAATAATATGTCCTACTATCAACAGGGAGCCGGGGGTTATCCAGATATGCAACAGGCCGGCGGCTACAATCAAATGCCACCGAATTACTATAATCCCCAGATGGGTTATAATCAAAACCCCTATGCTGGGGGTCCTGGTGCCGCCGGCTATCAACAACAACAACACCAGCAATGGGGTCCCGATGCTCATCAACAAATCCCCGGCCAGCCAAATATGCAATTCTTCGGAATGCCCAACTATGGTGGAGGTTATTATGGACAAGGTGGTAATTGAAAGTAAATTAATGAATGTAGTTAGTTTTTCTCTCGAATGAAACAATTCTCGATTGATCACTATTTTTAATCTAATTTTTAGTTTTATAAACTATTTTAATCTTCTAATGCAAGTAATAAACTCAAGACAAATATTTGGATGTGAATATTATATGAATTCATCGAATTCCTTCGTAATGAAAGAAATATGTAGTGTACATATAAACAAACATAAATATAACAAACTAATTTCGATAAAAATTATTTTATCATGCAAATATAAATTTTAAATAATTTCCATTATTTTTTCACGGGGATTTCGAGTTTTATATGGCTTTGTATGTAATCTCATGGGTGCCTGGTAAGTGTACTTAATCATTTTTATTGAAATTAAAGTTTATTTTAAAGCGATTGAGTCGAATACAAAATTTTAGATACTCATGAAAAAATATCCGGATTTACTTTCTATTACACTCTTTATATAGAAATTCTGCACTTGCTTTATTTTTCTCATTAAAATAACATGGATGGTGTCAAGGTAAAGAATATAACCCATGTTTGAGTATCTGCAGTTCATATTATGTCGTGAATACCCTTGTTTAATTTTCTTTTGTCAACTGCCGGTTTTATAGGGAGACGTATTTGCTTTATTTCTTTTCAAAATAGTAAAAGGTAAAAAACGGCATTGTGTAAAAAAGAAAACAAAAATTAGTAAATTCTTCAAGCTTCTGATTGAAATTCAGTTAATCAACTGGTTTTTTGTTTTCGGTTGGTCATTTATCGATTTACTGATCCCAAAAAATCAGTTAACTGGTTTTTGTTATCGGTTGGTCATTTATCGATTTACAGATCCCAAAAAACAAAAGTTTTCCGGTCCCAATTCGATTTTTATAAACCTTCCGTCTTCAATCGGCGTTTAAAGACAAATGTAACGGCCACGGCACACCTTTGGCATGTTCTTAGAATTTAACTCCAACAAGCATCTTAGCACAAATCTAGTTACAATCATTGCAATAACAGAAGAACTGTACAAATGATTTTGATGCTTAAAATTTGAACAACACAAAAAAAAATGTGAACAACTTGCCGTCTGTAGCCGCCTAACTTGTTCTTGTTGAATCGCCGTCATTAAGAATACCATTCGGCGTCGTTGTCTGGTCAAAAAAACTATTAACATTTAATCGTGGTTAATTTCAATAAAGTCTATATTTAAAACAAGTCTAAGTACGCCGTCCGTCTGTCATGTCGCACCGCCGTCGAATTCAATTTAATTTGTAACTAGTTCCGAGCTCTTCAGTGAAGATGTTCAATTCTCTCATGTCTCATTCGTAAACAACAGAGTACCCGGAGTCTTTGCTTTCTGTTTATTTTTTATCGGGTATTCCTTTTTTATTTTACTAGATGAAATGTCAAAATTCATGCTTGAGGCGAAAATAAATATTTTCGCCTTAACAGAAGAATTTTGTGGCGAATATGTTTGTTGTCATTTTTTGTTTGTATAACACATGGTAGAAAAATACAGGAAGACGCATTGACGTAAGTGCTGGGACAATGAACCATCAAACCGGATTTGAAATTAAAAATGTTAAACGAAAAATTGTTGATATTTGTAAAAATTGCATATCATAACAACCTCCAATTTGCTTCGTATTCGAAAACGTATAAAAATCTACTTATTTTTGACAAAACATTTTAACAATTTTGACATATCAATGTTCCCAAGCATTGCAATAATTTTTTGAATAATTTTTCATTTTGAATTGTTAACTTAAAAATTGGTTTGACAGTTCATTGCCCCAGCAGCTATGCAATGCGACTACCTGTATTCTTCTACCATCGTTTTGAAGTTTGTTTTGTTGCAGCGAATTCAAATTTAATTGACAGATCGTCTGGTAATCAGCTGAGCTGGAAGGGGGACCTTATACTTGGAACAAAATCGAATTCGATTGTTCGTGGTTAATTTCAATAAATACATTGTTCTATTTGTGCACATAAAACCCAAATATAAATGGAGGAGGCAACTGACGCCTTAATCGATACAACAACCACAAAACTAGGTACATTATCCATTGAAGATGTGCAATCGAAACACCGCAAAGAACGGAAAGAACTTCAGGCTAAGATCCAAGAATTGAAGAAAAATGCTCCAAAATCCGACAAGAAGAAACGAAAAGAAGTACTAGAGGAAATTGCAAAATTGGAAGCTAATCTGGAGGCACGGCAAGCGGAAGAACTGAAGAAAGCTGAAGCTGAAATCAATGCCAATACATGCGAGGAGAAGAGTCCCTTAGACAATCAGGAGGCATTAACGAATAACTTGAATAATGGTGCAGCTGTGAGTGATGATGAAAACGGTGAGGAGACTTCGAAACAACCGCAACAACGCATTTCTAAGGCACAAAAACGAAGAGATAAAAAATCTCGAGAAGCTCGCCAGAGGGAGGAGGACATAAAGGCTGCCGCCGAAGAGGCAGTTTTTGCTCCCAAAGCCGTTGAATATCGTAAGCTGGTGGACAAGTTAAAAAAACGTCAATTGGCTTTGCAAAATATTCCCTCAGATGGCGATTGTCTTTACAATGCGGTGCGTCATCAACTGATACAACATGGTTTGGGATCGCACAATGTCCGAGAGCTTCGTCACGAGACTGCCAATTATATACATGCCAACAAAGAAACCCTCTTACCATACATGACAAATCCCCAGACCGGAGATTTGCTTAACGACGAAGAATTTGAAAAATATTGTAATGATGTACGCAACACCGCCGCATGGGGTGGTCAGATTGAATTGAAGGCCCTATCGTCAATACTTAAAGTACCAATTGAAGTTATACAAGCTGACGGTTCACCGACAATTCAGGGTGCCGATGAATTTGGTGGTTCACCGCTGATAATAACCTATCATCGTCATATGTATAGTTTAGGCGAACATTACAACTCCACCGTTGAATTGACTGGCTCAGAGGGTGAACAGAATGACGAAAATTGAGGATTGTCATTAAATGGAATAGGCAGGGAGTCGTATTACGCTCCATTGTTTTCAAAGAGATATGTTGAAAAACTATGAAACGACGGTCGAAAAAGGAACAGAACGTGAGGACCCACACTACTAACAAACGATGAATTTAATGCATTTAATCACAAACAAAACCCAAAAACAAATTTAAAACTTAACACAACATTTGATATTGATTTTATCTCAATAAAAAAAAGAACTGTATTGGTGTATTTCACCTTACATAAGATATCAAGAGAATATTAATTGAATAGGTAACTATTGGTTCTGTGGGGATGGCTGATGAAGATGGACTTTTTTATGATGATGAACAAACTACTATATGCATCTATTGTAGTATTGATTCGAGTTTCGGTTAGCGAACGTTTTCCATTTTTCACATAAGGAACACAAATGTTATTTTTTTTTTTTTTTTTGATTTTTAATTTACTATTTTCTACTACACAAATCCTTAACTATATAAGTATGTATGTATGATGCCATATCATTAGTATGTTTTATGCTACAAATGCAGATTTACAAATAGTTTGTTAAAAAACATTGGTTTGGTTTTCCAAAACGGAAATTCTTTACAAAAACAATAGAGAGAGATTCGATAATTTTTCTATAACGGAAAATAAAAATGGATAAAATTGTTCAATACAAATACTGTTTCCAAGTAACTGTTATTCTAAACACAAACCTTAACCGTGCCGAACAAGTTTCTTTTTTTATTGTTTTTGTTAAAACCTAATGGATGAATGAAAGATGAAATTGCTTTTAAAAAATTAAAAAAAGTATTGTAATGCAGTTGGTTTTAGTACGAATGGTCTTATCTAAAAAAAATACCTTAAGACAACATCTTATACAATCATAAAAATGTGCGATTGTATTCCTTTAATCGGGTAAATCAATACTAATAATGGGTACTACTGGTTTCATACTGTCATTTTTCGCCGATTTTTTACTCTTTTTCATGTGTTTGTCAAAATCACCCAAGTGTGCAGTACTCGATGAGGACGAGCTGCCATCCAATGGCTGTGATTGTTGAGCATTACTGTTTTCGGCATGATAGGAAATATTACCATATTCTTGCAGGAAAGGCATAGCTGACAGTAGGAATTGACTGAAGGATTTGCGTATGCCAAACCACCATTTATTGCCGCCCTTGGCGCTAAAACTGAGAACGATTAAGGCAAATATAGAGGCTAAAAGCGGCGAGAAAATGACAATGTATGGGAATTTCAGTTCACCCTCAAGTTTGTCACAGATTACCACCTGTAAAGAAGATAATGTGTTATTAATTAATTATAATTTATTATATGCCACATACCTGGAAAAACAAAAGCGGCAATACTGTACAAACATTGCCCACAGCAGCATTTAGGGCTGCCTTTTTCTGTTGCAAGGAAATTTCCGGCGTTCTCATCATAATACCACAAAATATAATGTTGTAAAGTACACCTAAAATAAAATGTGAATGTTATTAATACATTGGTATTGGAAAGTTAATATTATTAGAGGGTAATATACTCACTAACTAAGCTCAAACAAATCACAATCCACATTGGAACAAACACCACTTCCCAATTCCATGTTACAAATTGATCCAATTTCAATGGCAGGGAGACAAATTGCAGAGCATTAACGGCCAAAAACAATTCCAGTTCGAATGAACGATCATGTTTTACAGCCCAAACACATGCACCCACACTAGCCACAGAACCGAAAACCAAAGGAATAAATACCAATACCCAGAGGTGGCGTTTCGATGTTAAATTGTCGCAGGCCAGCAATTCAAACATGAGCAGAATAAGATGCAAGGATAGGGAGATTAACATGGCCTTAAATTGTGTATAGGAATCACCTTCAAGTCTGCAAAGGAAGTGCAATAATGTATTAAATATATATTTGAGTAAATTCTATGTCTTACCTGTAGTGAGGATAACGACACCATACTATTGCACCGATTGTAGCACCCAAAGCTGCTATAGCCTTCCATATCCATAATGGTGTAAAAATGAAATACCAAGGCCAATCGATGTAACCATCCAATCGTAATGCAAACAACGTCACGAATGTAAATAAACTGCAGTGTACAATAAATTTGCTGCAAGCACACACACACATTAACGTGATATCCAAAAATAGTAATCACCCTTCCTCCATTCTAATAATATCCAAAACCATATGCTCACCTGGGATTAAAGTCTCTGAACAAGGATTGCAGATTCATTTTTTTATCAAGAGCACAACACAATAATCAAATCAAAAGGATCTGTGTAGAATAATCGCCCTGACCACCAAGCAACAAGTTTTTCCACTAAAAAATACTTTAGGAATATTATGGCTCCCTCTTTCTAGGAAGCAATGGGAGCCATTGATATGTACAGCATTATACTAAGGTACACTAAACTGGAGGATTTTTCTAAAGTTTTCACAAAGTTTTTCCAAATTCTATCAATAAATAGTTTCTTCTGTACATGGCCCAATTATAAGGTCTTCCTTCGAGCGAATTAATCTAAAAACAGCTGTTATTTTACCAGATGAAATGTCAAAATTCATGCTTGAGGCGAAAATAAATATTTTCGCCTTGACAGAAGAATTTTGTGGCGAATATGTTTGTTGTCATTTTTTGTATGTATAATAGCATGTTTCCATTGGAAACCGAACAACGTTGTTCGCTCTCAGAATTAGGTACACGAATTAACCCGTTCATACGGCACGATTCGTAATTCATAGTAAAATAATTCCTTTTTTCAAAATTTTGTTTTTTGATTTTAATGGGAATTTATACTAAAATACATTAAATTCTCACTAATATGAATAGAAGAAATGATTATTTTTCTCCCAAAGATTTATTATAACATTAATTTTATAATTTTCATTCACGTCTCCAACTTTTTGTGTAAATGTTGACATTTTGAACATATTTTTGTATTTTTCTATTTTTAAATTCTGCTGGAGAGACACTTGTCAAACATTTTTGCTGCCGATACAAACATTTTGAAAATATTGCCTCTTTTGTTTCCTGTTTTCTGTGGTAATTTCAACTCGTGGACAAAATGCGTACCTCGGATGAGAGAGAAAACAAAATTTACTTCCGTTTGAATGTACGTCCGCTATTCTACAATGTAGTTTTCATTCATAAATTTCAGTCTTCCCAAATTTTTTCAAAATTTCATTAAATTTTTCTATTTTCAATTTTTAAATGTCATAATTAATTTTTTTTCGATAAATGCTCTCATTTGTTAGGGATGGGACATATTTTTTCGTTGTTCTGAGAGTGATTTGATTTTAACACACGGTAGAAAAATACAGGTAGACGCATCGACGCAGCTGCTGGGACAATGAATCGTCAAACCGAATTTGAAATTAAAAATGTTAAACGAAAAATTGTTGATATTTGTAAAAATTGCATATCATAACAACCTCCAATTTGCTTTGGATTTAAAAAACGTATAAAAATCTACTTATTTTTCACAAAACATTTTAACAATTTTGACATATCAATGTTCTCAAGCATTGCAATAATTTTTTGAATAATTTTTCATTTTAAATTTTTAACTTAAAAATTGGTTTGACAGTTCTTTGCCACAGCAGCTATGCAATGCGACTACCTAAATTCTTCTACCATCGTTTTAAAGTTCGTTTTTGTTGCAGCGAATTCAAATTTAATTGACAGATCGTCTGGTAATCAGCTGAGCTGGAAGGGGGGCCTTATACTTGGATCATGCTTCTGTAGAGGTGGCAAACAATCGATGCCAATATCGATATTTTAGTTTGAAAGGGGATATCGATGGATAGCTGTTTCTATCGATATTATCAAACGAAATGTTGCTCTCATGACCCCACTCTGAAAATTGTTATACAATAGAACAATTTGAAAAAGATCCTTAAAATTAGCCTTGGTCTTGCAGTGCAATTGCCAATAAATATTGGCAGTCCTAACTAAAGTAGCACATTAACAGCTATTTAGCTTGTTTTATCATATCAAAAAAGCAGAAACCCCGATTTAAATTTCTGATATTTTCGTTTTAGCCGAATGAGTAGTCGACAATATTATTATGGTTGTGTTTGTCAACGTGAAAACTAATGAAAAAAGTAAAAATTTATTGAAACTCGTCAGCTAGTCGAAGTTTATTTTTGAATTGTAACTTCACAAAGGAAAAGATTCGGTCGGCTTTTAAATATGCTTGGAAGAAATCATTGGCCACTGTGAAGAAGACATTCACCTTATATAAAATCACTATATCTAAATAGCTTATTTGCTGTTATACAATAAAATTGTAATCATGTTTTTCTTTGCTAGGCTCCAACATTTGCACATTTACAATTTGGATAAACGATAACAACGACTGTGAAACGGTTTTACGAAAATTCAAAAAGTGTGAACATCCCTAGTGCTTATCATATGTGCCAGCTGATTAAAGGCGGTTAAAAATATGTCTCATCTTCCTGCGGATAAAAATAACGATAAAATAACATACAAATAATGACAGATATCGAAGATATAAATGCAAGTGATTGCTGTGGAAATGGCTGTGCAAATTGTGTGCTAGATGTTAAAGTAAAACATTCCAAAGTCTGTGATAAAACCGGAAAAACAAATGTACTCCTTCAATACACCTATTTTCGTTTGTTGGAAAAGAAACCTCATTCTGATGGAGACAGCGCTGTCTGGGAGTTCCATTTCAAGTCTGCGCAAGCGGAGATAGGCGAAACAGAATATATTCTTGATTTAAGTCCAGGCTATCATTTAATGCTTCGTACTCCATACGCCACGGCGGCACAAGGATGTGTTGAAAACGAAGTTGAAATGAAACGGAAATATTTACTAAGGCCTTACTCACCATACTGGTGGGATGTGGAGAAAATGGAATTTAAAATACTCGTTAATTTAAAATATCATGGACCTATGACAGCTGTTCTACGTAACTTGCAAAACGACAATGAAGTGGAATTTCGTGGACCTATAGGAAAATTTGAGTTTACACCAGATAATAAAGGTGATAATGTTATCTTGATAATAAATCAAGGGGTTGCCATTGCCGCCACAATACCAATAATTGAAAATATTCTAAAAAATGATGAGGACCTAACACGCATTGTTCACTTGTCCTGTTTTGAAAATATTAATCATATATATTTTCGAAAAGAAATTAATGATTTTCAAAAATATTGGAATTACAAAGCCCACATATATGTGGCCCATGAATTGTGCGAGGATTGTAAGCCGCTCTCTGCATGTTCGCATCTATGTAAAAATTTTAGAAATAAATTAAAATATAAAGAACCAATACAACCTGGTCGCCTAGATGATATGGAATTAAATAAAGTACTGGCGACATATGGAAATGATGTACCACATTTGCAAGTGGTATTAGCTGGAACTGGAAATTTCCAACAGCATTTTAAAGATCTGTTATCTTGTGATTCGTATGGTATAAATAAAAATAATATTTATTTGTTATAAATAATACAACTTAACATGAGATGTATGCATGCAGTAAAACTGCAACTATAAGAATCGTTTTAATGGAAACACTTCGCTTCATTCTCGTCTGGAAGTTATAGAATCATCGTTTTCTAATTCGTAAAGTCTTAGGGCATCTAAATACGGCTTCAACGGCGATGATTGTCACTGGGGCTTGTGTGAATTACAATGATTGTGACCAGCAGATATGAAGGGTGATAGTAATTCCATTGGCAAAGGAAATATAATTGTGGAATTCTTCTCGGCAGATATGTTGACTAAAGTTTGCAAGTAACGCAGCTGTAAAGGAAGTAATTGTTTTTAGTAAAAAGTTAAATGAAATAAAAAGAAAAAATGTGTACCTGTAATGCGGAAGGACTTGAGGAAATAATTTCTGATGCCTCCTTTAAAGCTCTGGAAGATTTCATTTCACCCTCTGCTGCAATCACCTTGGCACGGGCCTCTCGTGCAGCCTCTGCTTCGGCAGCCATGGCTCTTTGCAAGGCCGTGGGTAGAGATACGTCTTTTCTATAACGGAAATTTAGCTTTGAAACCAAGATCATCATTGAGAAATTTAAATTTCCTTACATTTCAACACGTTCCACCTTAACGCCCCAAGGGTCTGTGGCCTCATCCAAAGACATTTGCATGGTGTGCGATATAGTTTCCCGTTCAGTCAACAATTCCGATAGATTACGTGTACCCAAGACATTTCGTAGTGTGGTTGCCGCCAGCAAACGTGTCGAATGGCTATAATTTGAAACTTGTATAACCGATTTTAGAGGATCACTAATGCGATAGTAAACTACAGCATCTACGGTTACTGTGACCGAATCTTTTGATAGCACTTCTTGTGGTGGAACATCAAAGGAAACCGTTCTCAAATCCACTTTACAATAGTCATCTACGCAAGGTAAAACAAAGAATACACCGGGACCTAAAGTAAAATGGAATTTATGAAATTTTTTTCTGTAATTTGTTTGTAAATTAAAAATTTTTACCTCTTGCTCCGCCGCTTCGCAAACGACCCATACGAAATATTACCGCTCTTTCATATTCCGAAACTACTTTGAAGCATATGAATACCGAAATGGGAAATGTGAGGACCATTAAGATTATAGACAGTGTTGTGGCCAATATCTCAACGCAGTTCATGTCATCATTTTCCGCTGGAATAAAATAACAAATAGGTAAGTTATGATAAATATATGAGATGTATTTTAAATATATGTTTATTGGAGTATTCTGATTTTAGTAATTATAGAAAAAGCAAAGAATGGGAAACAGTAGCGTGTTAAAATGTTGTGTTGTGAAATTTCCTATATGTTTCGAAGGAAAACACAGACTAAGGAATGCATTCGATGTAAGTTGTTTGAAAAAAATATATTTATTTTGAATAAGACCTTAATTGTATAAGACAATGATTCGATATAGACAGCTTTCATGTAGCTTTCCGAAATAATAACTGAAGTTGGCAAATATTCATTTGGCATTATCTTCTAAGAAATACTCTGAGTTCATCTGCAAAGCGACACACTTCTATTCTCCAATATTTATTCTATAAACAAACAGAAATTCTTGTCTGCGTCATTGATTTTATTGCCTTCTTGAATGCGGGGTGCATAGAATTCCATGTTAATTTTTTTCTCATAAATCGACCACCAACATTCTCAGACACTGTGCCATCAATCAACATCATCATTCAGTTCAAATGTTTGCTTCTCTCCTCCGTTTCTAAGCAGAACAAAGAACCCACCACTTGCATTCTCTAGGCGAAAATAAACAAACTGTAGAGAAAATAAACAAATGCTATGCTCCTCATTATTATGTTTGATTCTTACGAAACAAAACAAGAAGGATGGACCAAATAAAAGGAATTATAGTTTGTAGTACCCTGAAGACAGACACCTGCTCGAATTGTTCAAATTGTTTACACCAAACAAATAATAAATTTCTCTTCAGATAAACAAATTTATTTAAGTAATTGACACATATACATAAATTAATGCAGAGGCGTGTCAACAGATATGGACTAAAGGATTAATGAACCCAATTAATTCATGTTTTAATATTTAGAATAGAAGCAATAATTTAGCAGAGTAATAATCACCCTTCTTCAATGACTTTGAAAATGCAAATACAATTATTTATTAAGAACTATACTTATAGTAATTATTATGATAAGTACAAAGCAATTATTGCTAAATATTCATATTTTTATATAAGATGCTTCATATGCATAAGAAATACTCATGGGCAGTATGGCCTTTTTGTTGCGCTTCTTGCAATGTTTTGAGTTAGATGAAGGGAGTAGGGAAGTAGTAGGTTGCTTTATTGCTATTGACTGGTTGGTGATAGCCTATACAGGGTGAGATAAAAACAAGTAAAAAACATTAAGTTCGGCCGGGCCGAACTTTAAATGCCCTCCACTTTAGGGTAAATGAAACATTAGAACCCATTATGACCTACAAATATCAATTTTTAGATATATTCGTGGGAAAATGTGGCAAAAGTCATAGAAATATCGAATATTAGGAGGTACCGCTATACTATACAAGGGGAGGGTCTATGCAAAAACATGAACATATACATACAATGTTTCGCCAACCCATTACCAATTTTTAGACAAATTAGCGAAGAAATGTGGCAAAAATCATCAAAATACCGAATATCTGGAGGCAACGTTATACCAAAACGTGGACCAGAACCCATTATGACCAACAAATACCAATTTTTAGACAAATCCGTGAAAAAATTTGACAGAAACCATCAAAATACCGAATATCGGTGGCTTTACCCAAACGTGGACCTATGCATACGCCACCGCAGCCGGAACCCATTATGACAAACAAGTACGAAATTTCATCAAAATACCGAATATTGGGAGGTACGTTATACGGGGATTTCGATATTCGTGATTTCAACAGACAGACAGACGGACATGGATATATATACTTTATGGGGTCTACGACGAATATTTAGGGATTTTACAAACGGAATGACAAAGTTAATATACCTTCCTTTCCAAGGTGGATGGTATAAAAACTGCAACAAATTCAAACGACATAATTTTTACATTTTTTTTAAATTTTATTAAATGAAAGCAAGAAATGCCGAAAATAGCATCACATTTTAGAATAAGTTTAGATTTGTTCGAATTGGTCACCTTTGGCACGATTTATTGCCCTTTAAACGGCCAATGAAACAGTCAAACGCTGCCCGAATGCTGCTCTGCGGTATTTTGGCCCATTCCCGGCGAAGCGCTTTTTTGAGATGATCGACACTTTGGTATTTTTTAGTGCCAACCTTGCTTTCCAAAATACTCCAGGCACAAAAGTCCAACGGATTTGTATCCGGAGATTTTGGTGGCCATTGTGCCCTGGAAATGAAGCGAGGAATCTCATTTTCTAACCATAATGGGGTGGCACGTGCTGAGTGCGAAGGTGATGAGTCCTGTTGGAAATTCCAAGGTCTGCTGCCAAAATTTTTACGTGCTCAAGCCTTTAATACACCCTCTAGAAAATTTTCCGGATAATTTTCGGCATTTATTCTGATGCCACGGTTGATTAATACGAACGGAGAGCGACCATCGGCTGTTATGGCGGCCCACACCATCACCATGGCCGGCTCTTGAGTTCTGGTGGCCAACCCAAGGTGCACTTTTTCAGCTGACCTCTTTGGCAAGTAAACACGATAATTTTGTTTGTCTACAAACTGCTGGACAACGAATGTTTTCTCATCGCAGAAAACTAAATTCGGCAGTTCATCACTTTCGGCCAAGTGAAGCAACTCTTTAACTCTTTTTAGTCTATTTTCTTTCTGTTGCGGTGTAAGTTCTTGCACTTTTTGGAATTTTAATGGCAAATCAGCTCGGGGTAAGCTAATTTTTCAATCTTTGCCGAATGGAATATTGCGATATGTTCAGCTTACGAGCCATTTTTCTGCCATTGCGACGTGGGTTTCGATCAAGTCGCTTCTTTACTTTTTGAACCATTTCTGCTGATGTTGCTGTTTTCTTAAGTCCACTTCCTCCACGTCGGGCTACACTACCAGTATCGCAGTAACGAGCGATGGTACGAGCCAAAAAAGATTTATTCACATTTAAATGCTGGAGTGCTCTAACGATAGCCATTTGAATTCCATCAGGAATAACTTTTTTTCTGGAAAATGTTCACCAAAATGCTTTTGTACGCTTGTAAACAATATAATGAGCTGGCACTGAAATAATTTTAATAGCTGCCGGACGAGTGGCTTAGAAATGACTGCAGTCTGAAATTGGTTGCAGTTTTTTCATTTCACCCTGTATGTAAGTATGTATTCATACTATATTGTATTCATATAATTATAAACTGTTCAAAACACAAAGGAAACTAAAACATTTCATACAACAATAACACCATAGCACTAAGTCACAAAAAAAATTAAAAATCTTCATAAATGCCTATCTAAATATAACATTCTAAATATTACCTACATACATACATTTATTATTTAACGAATTCCCATTGGAAATGTGCCTTTGATCACATTTTCGAAATCGTGGATTTTAATCGATTTTATGATTTCATATGGCTGTGAATTTGTTCGTAAAACGACAACAAATGATTTTTTCATATTTATTATTATTATTTTCATGTGCAATTAGTTGTTTTGTGTTTTTTTCTTCGGCTTTTGGATGGATGGATGGTTGAAATTCAAACAAGAGTGATGAACACCACTTTTAGATTTTTTTTTGGATATAATTCGTGCCAATTGTTTTCGTTCTTTACACAGTACTAATGATTGAAAAAACAATTGAAAATCCATATAGGCAACATTAAATGCTCGAATGAAAACTTTTTAATGTGTTTTAAACATAAAAAGCATTAAAATGGGAATAGTGTGTTTTAGAATAATTTTGAAATTAATTGAAGAAACTCACGTAAAATGTGTATGGTCAGTTTAGTTAGAGGGACTGCTAGATAAACATGTGTGTAAAAATAATGTTTTCAAGAAGATTTTTACAAGAGTCCTTCTGACCAAAAATTGTGCGGTTTTATATTCTTGACCAAAGAATCAAAATAAATGTTGATAAAGAATTGGATCACCTCCTCCAGCTGGATCAAAGAATGAGGTATTTAAATTTCGATCAGATAATAATATGGTAATTGCAGAAGGTATATATCATTTGATACTCCCGATTCGATTTTACAAACCAGGTCTCCATTTTAGGACATTTGCAGTCGATCTATGGGGTCCATCCGTGCGTCTGGCTGATGTGCACGACAACTTTAAAGAGACCAACCGATGTTGTCCAAACTTTGTATATTATAATATTATAATCAAACTTAGATGGCGTTGAGAGATGGACAATATCGATCCACTCCTTCAGATATCTCACCCACAAAAGGTCTAAATTCTCAAAGAAAATAATTTAAATCGTAGAAATGAAAAATTATTATCTGATTTTGTATCAGTGTTAGGTTAGGTGTTAAAATGAACAATATCGTCCCACTCTTTCTAGTACCTCCTTCAGGGAGGGTAAAAATTTTGTATAATCGCAACTCTCTTCAAATTTCGCTCATCTCAACATTTCCAACAACTCTATGTTTGGTGTGAAGATGGATAATTTTAGTACCTCCCTCACAAACGGTCAAATTTTGAATAATCATAACTCTTATAAAATATGAAAGGGGATTCTGATGGTCTTCAATGTCGCATATCCTAATAAATTTGGTAAATTTCCCAAAAAGGATCAAAATTTAAAATAATCATAACTATTATAAAATATACGAGAAGATGACGAATGTCTTCAAATTTCGCACATCCTAATATTACCTACAACTCATAGGCCTTGTATGAAAATGGAAAGGATCAAACTGGCAATCCCCCCATAATGTTTTAAAATTTTCAATGCCCATATTCTTTTTATACCCTCCACCATACTATGGAGGGTATATCAATTTTGTCATTCCGTTTGTAACTCCTCGAAATACTCATGTCAGACCCAACAAAGTATATATATTCTTGATCAGCGTAAAATTCTAAGACGATTTAGCCATGTCCGTCTGTCTGTCTGTGTGTCTGTCTGTCTGTCTGTGTGTCTGTCTGTCTGTCTGTGTGTCTGTCTGTCTGTCTGTCCGTCTGTCTGTCTGTCTGTTGTAATCACGTTATTTTTCGAACAAATTGA